AAAGAATGTGCAAGTGCTTCTTGTCTGTGCATTAGCACATTATGCTAATTCTTAGTTATTCTCAGTGACTGTTAATGTGATGTTATGCAGTTGCTAAGATGTTTTGTGTGGTTTCTAGAGCATTGCCATATGCTTGGTCCAATTCAAAAAAGCCCACACACCAAGTCTGTATGATATTAGTCGTCATAGTTTGGGTCCCTGCTTTAGTGTAAATCTATGTGTGTTTTGTCTGTATTTATCATACACCATTGGGAAATTGTTAGTCTAGTTACTTAGAAATGCAAACATCTCCTCATTCGCAGCAATTGGAGATATACATTAGTAGTTTGCATTTAAAATACTCAATGTCTCTTGAAAGCCTATAGAAAGAGGAAGACATTGAGGAACCGCAAGGGTGTGACATAAAAGAGCATCCTCTGAAATAAAAGCTGTGAAACCAGACCCTTAACACCAGATACCGATGACACTGATGATTTCACATCTTCATAACAAGAGCAAACTAATCATTGTTTTGGCATTGAGATGTGAGTCCAGAGAGGACCCATCCTTGTTTATTAAACTCTAATGAGGTCTATGAGGGTTTACACATTAATGAGCTTGCTATCATTTGATTACAATTATGACTAAGGAGGGTCACATAATTAGATGTTATGATATTATGGCAGTTATCAAACAAGAAATAGTCTGTTGCTAATCATTATACCAGTCTCACATATGCCAGATATTGTGGAGATCAGCCCTTTTATCTGTGTGTGTGTGTGTGTGTGTGTGTGTGTGTGTGTGCAGTCCTGCTGGAGCATCCAAGGGTTCACTGCTTTCCTCAAGGGCACAGCATTAATAACTCACAGATCATCCCTCATGTGATTCAAACCTACCAGTTGTGATGTTTAACCACACTTTCACACCATCGCATTATGTTTTAGAAATAGTGGATCTGTAGAGTAAGTTAAGTTATCCACAGCTAGCTGAGTTGGCTGGCTAATTTCTTTCCTTTTTTTCAAATTTGTCAAAAGAAGTGACAAAAAGAAATTGCTTCATAATGGAAAAGTACCTATACTTTGTCACCTAATTGTGAAAACTTGGAGGTTTTATCAGCTTTGCACACGTCACAGATGTAATTAGTTGTTACAGTAAATTTAAATGTTTTCATTGTGGCTCAAGTGACTTGAGGGTTACTCACAACAGATTATCTTTCCCATCTGAAGTGTGTTTAGTAACAATGACTTTGTAGTGGAGTGCAGGACTGTTAGTTCTCTCTCTCTCTCTCTCTCTCTCTCTCTCTCTCTCTCTCTCTCTCTCTCTCTCTCTCTCTCTCTCTCTCTCTCTCTCTCTCTCTCTCTCTCTCTCTCTCTCTCTCTCTCTCTCTCTCTCTCTCTTCTGTCTTTCTCTCTCTCTGTGTGTGCGGTTTTATGAATCCATGTAGAACCAGGGTTAACCTAAGCTCCAATCGGCATTTGTTCAGTGAATCAGGGGCGTTCTGAGTCACGCTGAGTAAATATCATCTGAGAATATCTAGGACACCACTTTAACAGTCCATATCTGTGTCTGTTGGTTTGTGTATGTGAGAGGGAGTGAGTACTGTCATTTAATCATTCAACCTAGTGGCTGATTGTTATGTCTTTTGCCCTATGTAGATGGACCCCATGCAGAGACACATTGTCTTTCATCCGTCTTCTGGTTGATGTTCACCGGGGTTATGCGCCTTTCAGAACTTAATTTGAGAATGCCTTTTAAATTCTAGCTCGGTTGCTGAATTTGATTTAAAGCTGTTTTTGTTTATTTATTTAATATAATATAATATAATATAATATAATTTATATTATATTATATATATATATATATATATAATAAAATATAATATATAAATTATATATACATAATACAATATATATAATATAATATATAAATTATATATAATATAATATAAATTGTGTATATTTATTTATATGAATGAATTTATGTGCTTAATACATGGGAGAGCCAGAATAGTCCTATGGCCTTCCAGATTGTCCTACAACTTAATGTCATGACTGAATACCGCTATAGTTTTGTCCAGTCATGCTTTGCCACAGTGTTTTCGTGAGCTGCCAATAGCATGTGTATGTATGACAATAGACAGAACTTGAAGGAACAGGATGTAAATTGTCTTGTAGATTATAACATTCAGCTAATTCACACCACATTACTGTATATTATACTGTGTATACAGTATATTACCATGTATACTGTATATTCATGCTTTTTCTGTGAGGTTTGTTTTCTTTCCATACTTAAGGATGAAAATGCAATATTCTGCTGTTCTCTGATCTTCAGACCGCCAGTAGTGTCTTGATGTGATCTTTGCGTCATCCTCCAGCTGTGAGCTGACAGGTGCTTGAGTGTTTCAGAGGAACTTGTGAATGTCTGATGTTCCTCAGAGAACAGGAATGAAACACTTTCTCACTCAACTGAACAAAGCCATGGGATGTTACTCAGACTCTGAAAGAACTCAGAGCTAGCGGCTGTAGCTCCAGACATGTGTGTTTGTCATGTGGAGTGAGTTTGGAAGTCTTCCTCCGCTTCATTGTGTAATATGAGCTAAAAAGTCTGATTAGTTTGGGTTCACAGTCTGCTTTGAAGTGGGACAGATTTTCGCTTTGATTACTAACTGTTTAGTCTGGGAAGCAAGTATATCATTGTTATCAGACATATCTAGCTGAGTCAAACAAACCTGTGTGTGGTACTGGTGGAGGGCCGGCCCGTTCAGGGTCACACTTGGGTAATGGATGTGCAGTTATCCGCTCTCATTTTCCCTGGCACGCTGGCGGATATCAGGAACAGATGCCTTGGCAACAAGCCCAGGGTAAATAAAGGGAGGAGGCTATCAAATCTGACTCCAGACACTGTACAATATGAAGGATAACTCAGTCAAAGAGCTTTATCTAATGAGACCGACACGACTGTGCTTAGTTTTGTGATTACAGTCTCCATATTGGGGGCCAAATAATGTTCCTACAGAATTTAGTTGGAATAGCAGAAAATTGAAAATCATGAAAAGAGCCCCACCACTGCGAACAGATTTCCCAGGTCAATCTACAGGAGATCTACTATCTTCTCATTTTTGCAGAGTATAAAATATAGATAGATAGATAGATAGATGAGATTAAGTATATTCTAATGTTTACAGAATATATTAGATATAGTTTATTTGGTAACACTTTACAATAAGGTCTCATTTGTTAATATTAGTTATAGTTAATGCATTAATAGGAACTAACAAGTAGCAACCATTTTTTTGCAGAATATATTAAAGGGACAATGTGTAGGAATTTCTCCTATCTAGCGGTGAAATTGTATTTTGCATTCAAACGAATTGTGCTCTCCAGCGCCTCGCTTTTTCAAATGCGTGTTGTATCTACGGTAACCGTTATGTACCAAAAAGCTATGACAGGATGTCTTCTAATACGCTGATTTCACGCAGCCGCCATTTTGAAATGGCTCCGGTGGGAAGAAAACCGGAAGTGTCGCCTTTAATCATAGGAGAGTCGCGAATGCGATGGCGTATTGTTGTGTTTAATATAGAAATTAGTTATTCTAAAAATGTACATACATTTCTTTCATACTTTAGACTATATACAGTGAAATTCATTTATAAATAATAAAATTTTATATATATAATTCAGAACGTAAAAAAAGAAGCAGGAACGAACTATAAACATATCCTATATTGGATATTAACATCCAATAGTGTAAATCGCGGCAGCAGCTTCAGGTTGGTAGTCCAAGGCATTGTTGTCTATCTGTACTTCCGGGTTCTTCCCACCAGAGCCTCGCTTTCGATTTCAAAATTCATCTTTTGTTCATTTGTATTGCTTTGTGCGTGCATATTCATGTTTGCCAACAATATTTAGTCCTAAAAGTGAGATATGGAGAAGTGGCTAAATTATGTTTTGCAAAAGTATTTTTTGAGACAAATCTAACTCATAAATAAAAAAGGCTCCATATCATGTGTAAAGCCTCAGTTGATGTTAAGTGGGTAAAAATCTGAAAAGATCATATCTTAAAATATTTCAAAGGGTGGTTCCCAAACTGAAAACGATGGATTAAAAAAATAAAATAAAATTGTGGATCCGACTGCAATAGGAATGCAATGCAAATGCTCAGTAAATTATTATGTGTGAATTTATGCATTTTGACAATGTAATTACACAATATTACTATGAATTATGATAAGAATAATTTTCATTCAATTATATTAACAGACTGGATTTATTTTTGCTTAATTGTGTTTTGGAAAACTTGATGGTATAATAATTGTTAATAAATAAAGACCAGCAACAACACAACACTAATATCTAACTTTAACTTTTCACTACAAAATTAACACAATATTTATCGTACAAATTTAAAAGAATGTTTTCTGTTAAAAAATATAAGAAAAAAAAAAAAGTTTTACTATACAGCCTGAAAGTGGTGGGGATGTAAGAGAGTGGTGCAATGCAAAAGAGCTGCAGGAATGGAGGATGATGAGAAGGAACATAACAGAAAGTGAAAAGAGAACATACTGACCCACTTTCATCAAAGAGGTCTGCAGAGATGAAAGGATGACAATGGTAAAGTTTCCTTTGGGATTTCATACTGTACCGTCTCTTTTACAACCTCTGCTGCTACAGTCTGGCTTCATTTATGACTTAAAGCTCAGCTTTAACGTTCTCGTTTCCTGTGCAAAGTCCTGTTATTTCACACAGATGGACGGTTGTGGTGAAGAGTGATAAGTAACGGTGAATTGATTGCAGAAAACCTTTCAGCATCTATGACCAGACTTTCACAATGATCTCTGACCCTGTGAACTTTCTGAAAACTCATCCAAACTGACTATGTTGTCCATTATCATTATAGTGTTCATTGTGTTATTTGTTTTATCTGTGGTCTCCTCAGTAATATTCCACTGGCTGGCTTATAAAGACGGACTAGGATTTGTAATGATGTTGATAACTCCCTCTCTATCGGTCTCTCTACAGGCAGGAGGTTCAGGAGAACTGTGTTCGCTGGCGAAAGAAGTTCTCCTTTGTGTGTAAGATGAGTGCCATTCCTGCCACGGGGGTCCTGGACCCCTGTATTTGCAGAGTGTCTGTGCGTAAGGTTAGTCTCACACACACACACACACACACACACACACACACACACACACACACACACACACACACACACACACACACACACACACACACACACACACACACACACACACACACAGATCTCATCTTAGACCAGTAACACACTCAACAATAACTTTTCAGCTCTGCAAAAATAATAATAATGGCTCATTTTAATCTGAAGTGATGATTTCTTTTTTTTTTAAAGCATTTTTAATAGGTGTAGTTGTAGACCCTTTTGGGCCTGTGGACTATGATGGATTCTTTAGGTTTATTTCATAGCCAGCATTTTGTGGGCCAGATTTACCAACAGCTTGTGCCATCGCAAACCCTCTTTTGCCATTAAAAAACTTCTGTTAGGATTTACTGAAGACATACAGTGAAAAATTTGTGCTGAAAAGGCGTGGACACAGTTATTTTTGCGGCTGACCTTATTGCATATGCATTTGTAGGAGTTTCCCTTTCAGATGCAAAATGGGAGGAGAGTATTTAAATGAATCAAGCAAGGTGATTTACTAAGGTTGTGCTATAGTTAATTTACTGGTATTTGCGCCATTATTTAATGTAACAAAAGCACGTTTTAACCCATTTTGCACCTGTGTTTTTAGTAGATTACCCGCGCTTGATTATCAGCGGCTCTGCTTGTTTGCGACCCTACGCTAATTTGCGCTGCTCTTGGTAGATTGTGTTGATCATTATGGAAATAATCCGGCTGTGTCTGTGTTCTTTATGTGTGCGTCGTCAGTAGATCATGTGCAAAACTTTCCACTCCCATCGGCGCTTTTTTGGAATTGCGCTCTCACGCTAATTTGCCCTGTTTAGTAAATCTGGCCCTATGTATCTTCACACAGTTGCATAACGTTTTCACAGTTTTTGCACGATATTTTTAAGATGCACAATAAAAAAATTACATCTATCTCATAGGGCTGGGCGATATGGCCTAAAAAAAAAATCCCCGATTTTTTTCACAAAAAAATCCGATTTACGATTTAAATCGATTTTTTTCTCTCCCTACTTAAAATCAATCTGTAGATGACAAAGAAATTGTTCAAAACAAGTTTTAACTTTATTTTGTTTTGAGCATAGCCTACCTTAATGTGTTATGTTAATTGTTCTCCAAAAATAAATCACCTAATGCTGTAAACATACAGAGAGACCCTGTCAGCTGGTATTATTAAAGGTTAAAACTAACTCAAATTAAATATGTGTTTTTATAATAACAAACAACGTTATAATATTTTAATGATATAGGTAAAAATATAATAAATGTGTAAAATAGTTATCATATTTAGCTAAATACTCCTCTCTTTTGCTAAAACATGCGTGCTATATGGGTAATTAAAAGGCATTCCTGAGGTTAATGTAACGTTACGTGACATATGCTGTTCTCCAGCTGTTTTATGGACATCTTTCCGCGGTTGAAAAACACTGATCGATCGATTTTATTTCGGTAAGTTAGTAGTGAAGAGTAACAGATGATCGGTTCACGTGCCGCTTGAACTGAGATCTGTCAGCGATCTTTCACGTCACATTTACAAGCGCCAAAACGGTGTTTATTGTTTGAATTTCGTAATAAAATTGACAGAATCTGAGAGCTGAGAATCTGTTTCATATCAATAGTAATCTCCTCTGTCTAGTCTGTCGGTGTCAGTGTGCTCTTTGCTAGAGGTCGACCGATAGTGGATTTTACCGATACCGATATCTAGGTTTGACCGTACATGCCGATAACCGATAATTCAACCGATATTTTTTTTAATGGATACTGGATTAAAAACAAACATCATACTCACAATAAAACAATGCTGAACTGAAATGTGCTCAATTAAATAAATAAATATGAATATATTAACTTTATACAGAAAATAATTTAAACATTAAAATATTACAGGTTTCGTTATAGCTATAACCTAGAAACATACGTACATTTCATAGGTAACACTTTGCAAGTCCCATTTGTAAACAAGGATGTATTAACTAGCTTTCATGAACTATATATAATGCAATATACCTTTTTACTGCATGTATTAATATAAGCAATACAATTGTACCTTTATCATTCATGTTAGTTCATTCATAGTACATTAACTAAGGTAATAAAAGATAAAATAAGAATTAAAACTCCATCTCAAATGCATTAGTAAATGTTGAAATTAACAAACTACCGTAACAATGAATAATTCTTCTACAACTTGTATTAACCTTATTTAATGCTAAAAATGGAATGTTATTGTAAAGATATCTTTGGAATCATTTCATATGATTCCAAAGAGTCGTGCTTAAAGATGGCCATTAAAATGTAATAAAGACCTGTATTATGTATACGTAATATAGCCTATAGTCTCTCACTTTATTTGCTTCTATATTTTAGAACACTTGATGATTATTTAATCAAAATAACAAGATCTATTGTAGTGATTTAAAAAGATCTTAAATCGAACGCTTTTCTGATTAGTTTACGTTTCTGTCGGCTGCATGAACATATCTGAGAAAGCAATCACGTCACTAGTTTTAAATATGCAACTTCGTCGGCTAATGAATGCATAAAAGTGACCAGCCGGATAAAAATAATGCAAATAGATGGTAACAATTGCGCCATAAAACATTTGGGTCAGGTCTGCGTTTGTTTTTGTCACATTGCATTAACGGTTGACTGAGGTAATGTTAGAGTCCTCACAGCCTCGACGGCAAACTACTGTTCTTTCTCTGCGGATGCAGCATCTAGTCAACAAATGAATTAATTTGTAATGATATGGCAATATGTACCTACTTTAGTGTTATGTATTCATACCGTTTCGCTGTCGGTGTTTTAAATGTCAGCGCTCTCGCTGCGTGTTCTCTCCGTGCTGCGCGCTGCCTCACGTGTTAACGTAAACAACTCAGCCAGTGATAGTTTGTTATTTGTCCTCTAGAGGCCGCTCTCACTCTGTATAATGCCAGCAGTCTCTTCTGTTCTGAGCGCTCTCGTGCTGTGTAATGACCGCGCGCACTTCTCAGCCTCCAGCAACGGACGCAACCCGGAAAAACTATCGGTGTGGATTTTTGCCGATAACGATAGTTCCACCAAACAACTATCGGTGCCGATTAATCGGCAAAACCGATGAATCGGTCGACCTCTACTCTTTGCTGCGCGATTTTTCTCTGCGTGAGAAAATGCATGTGTGCGTGAGAGCGTGTAAAAAGTGACAATTGCGTCTCTCACAGTGAACTCGTGAGAGTTGGCGGCCCTACAGATTCAGTTTGTAAATGTTTTCGGCGGGTGTGCTTCTGCTGCCGCGGTCTTGTTCATTTGCCATGTTGTTTGTGTATCTCTATCATGGCAAGCGCTGAGCCCGGTCGGAACTGGGAGCCCAAATGGGCGCGTCAGCGGTTGTTAAAGAGAAAACCGATTTTCATTCAAAAAAATCATTTCGCTACACATTCGAGTTAATCGATAAAATCGATTTATCGCCCAGCCCTACTATCTCATCACATGTATGCCCTTCACTGACACTTTTGTCTTTTTTGTAACCAATTACACTAAGCTGGAAAATACTTTATTTGGGGCAAAATTGTTGGTTGTTGCACATTTGAGGGACACAAGTAATTTGTGTAAAAATTTATATTAATACTTTTTCTCACAATATATATTGAATTGGTTTATTTCTGTCTTTGGTTACATTATCATAGTTTTTATAGTTTTTAAATACAGTACAATTAATATTTTTATAGTACACTTTCATATTTTAAGTTAGAACTGTCTAGGACGAGGGTAAAACATTACAACTTTTACATAAAAGGCATTTGAAGCAAAAATTAAAGATGAATGATTGGATAAAATGTACCCGTGGGTGAAGAAACTATGGAAGTAAAATAATCCCAAATGTTTTTGAAACAAAAAGCCTGTTGAATTGCACTACTTGAAAAAAATATGCATTGCATTAACCCTGCTTGTATTTTAATGCATTGTATTTTTAGGGCTTGCATTTTTATAGGCTGAAATTTAGCATGGTTAAATATTTAAGCAGTGAATATTTCAAATCAAAACATTTCAAACACATTTTCATTAGTAAAATTTCAATAATCCATATTCACCTTTCATATTTCATTTCCCAAATATTCAAACTGATTAAAAATACAACCTAAAATATTCAACAGGCGGTTTTCGGTCCATTTTATTTCGCTTTGCAAATTCGCTTCCACAAATTCAGTGGTTCAAATTCGACAGTAAATTCAACATTGACATCCAGGAGCTGCAGGAAAAGTAGTAGATTACCGAGCATAATCTCCATCTGCTGTTAGTCGACCACACCAGCAGGGGGTGCAAGCGCGTGTTGTTGACGAAGACCAGAGCAACAGTTAGTGCAAGCCATTCATTCATAAAAACTTATTTACAAAAATGTAAGTGTATTTGTGATTATTATGACGTCTGTTTTATGTGAAATTCAGTGTGTTCACGATTACTTTTCCTGTGTAGCCTACATGCATCTTTCTCTACCATGAACGATAATGTTATTCCCCCGATGCGGATATACAGATCCAGTGTTACATTTGACATATTTCTCTTGGTTGTTTAGTTGCCTTCACCTTATATTGCAGCGATGTGCTGCATGCAGTACTAGGGTTTGGTTTCCCTCAATATGTCAGGATTCCCCTGCTGGACATATAAAACGCTTAACGTAGCTTAATGGACATAAAAGACCAAACTCGCAGGCTAGCAGATGGACTCAGAATATGAATTTAACGCGCAAAGTTTAATGCTGAGCGTTTCCCAGTGATATACTGGCATAAATTTGGTTTGACATTGGACATTCGCACATTTAGGGACCGTCTCTAAAGTTACATACGACATTGGTATACACGTTTCTAACTTAAATACCTTTTGAAAAGAACGACTTACAGTCATAAAACCAACTGTAAAGTGTTCGTGTAGGTGTCAGGCTCAGGCATAATGCGCAATTTATTCAAATAGATTGAAGTTTGCTATTGAAGTTAGAAACGTTTAGGCCTATAGGACTTGTTACTTTAGAGACGGTCCCTAAATGTGCGAATGTCAACCCAATTTTACATTTAGTCTTTTAGCTGGCACTTTTATCCAAAGCGACTAGTTAAACTAACAATATAGAACAACAATATGAAAGTGCTACTTCCCAGTTTAATCTAATGCAGTATATGTACAATACATACTTTCCAAATAAGGTGCGAGTTTGGTCTTTTATATCACTGTACTGTAGTCCATTAAGCTACGTTAAGCGCTTAAGTCCTGATGGAATTCGGGGAATCTTTGAGTATGATGATGTATTGAGGGAAACAGATTATAATCCCGTTCACTGTAGAAAAGGCTGATAACATAAGGCTACACAGGGAAAGTAACAATGAATGAAACATAAAAACAGCTTTTGTGCCTTTAGATATCATCTTTTCCGCATATATACTGACCCAGATAATCGTCACAAAAAACGTAATGCATGCTGAGTTTTTATGAATGAATGGCTTGCTCTAGTCTAACTGTTGCTCTGGTCTTCTCAACAACACGCGCTTGCACCCCCTGCTGGTGTGGTCGACTGACAGCAGATGGAGATTATGCTCGGTAATCTACTACTTTTCCTGCAGCTCCTGGATGTCAACGTTGAATTTACTGTCGAATTTGAACCACTGAATTTGTGGAAGCGAATTTGCAAAGCGAAATAAAATGGACCGAAAACCGCCTGTTGAATATTATAGGTTGTATTTTTAATCAGTTTGAATATTTTGGAAGTGAAATATGAAAGGTGAATATGGATTATTGAAATTTTACTAATGAAAATGTGTTTGAAATGTTTTGATTTGAAATATTCACAGCTTAAATATTCAACCATGCTAAATTTCAGCCTATAAAAATACAAGCCCTAAAAATACAATGCATTAAAATACAAGCAGGGTTAATGCAATGCATATTTTTTTCAAGTAGTGCAATTCAACAGGCTTTTTGTTTCAAAAACATTTGGGATTATTTTACTTCCATAAGAAACACTCTTATCCTGATTAACAATCAGATTGTGGAGCTATTCAGTGAGTTCTGATGTTTGGTTTACTCCATACAGTGTATCTGCTGTCTCATGGCTATGGCTCTTATTACCCTTCACTCCCTTTGCCTCATAGCGTCACCACCAATGGCAAACAGATTACATAACAAATAATCTCTTACCCGCTTTCTCTCTCTCTTTTTTTTACTTACAGGAACTTAAAGGTGGAAAGACTTTTTCAAAGGTAAGAGCTTTCTCCTCATCCCTTTCTCTCTTTTTTTCTTTCTCTCCTTATGATTGTTTCTTCCTCACATACTGTCTCTAAGGGATCATCACAGATTTCTTTCTCACGCTCTGTTCTTTTTTTCTCAGGGTTTTGTGTTTATAAACACAAAGCTCTTGTGAGTCACATGCATATACACACAAGTATGCATACTGTACTCAGAGACACTCAGGACACCAGGAAATACTGCATAAGCAATTATAAATGGGTGTAATGCAGTGGGAGGTTAGTTTTAGGGAATCTGTGATCTGGTCTGGACCTGTCATAGACATGTGTTTCCACACCTTGAGAATCTCTAAATCACATAGTTATCAGGCATTGCTTGTACCACCCTACATTAATTGTACAATAAATTCAAGCAATTAGTGATAATAGACTATAGATAAAAGGCTGAACACACATTTTTAGTAATTACAGAAAAGTCTGACACAGGCAGGCCATTTCTCTTGTGTCAACAAACAAAGGATGTGAGACGTTCCCTAAACAAAAGCCCTTAGTGTGATTTATATATATTCAAAAGTAATTTTTTTTTAATTTAATGTACATTACTGATCAAAAGTTTCGAGTCAGAAAAAAAACAACTTTTATTCCACAAGAATGCCTTGCATTGATCAAAAGTGACAGTAAAGACATTTATAATGTTACAAAATATTGATAATAAAGAAATGCTTCTTGAGCACCAAATCAGCATATTAGAACAATTTCTGAAGGATCATGTGACTGAAGACTGGAGTAATGATAATATGTATATATATGGAGCACTTTGAAGAACTGTTACACTCATTGCAATGCTGCTGGTTGTTTGGGCATGTGACATATTGTGATTGCTGGTTAAGGTCATCATGGCCAAATTACTGCAGAGAAGGACATGTTTGGCACATTTGTGTTTGTAATGAGTTACAGGAGGATGTTTTGTTTGGGAGTGTGCATCCGTGTCCTCTTCTCTTCATTTACTGATCCCTTACATCCTGAACAGGAGCAGTTTGTCAAAACAGTATGCTGATGCAGCAAAAGTTGGGAATGAGGGAGGTCAAATCTATGGACTGTAACCTGGAATGAGGGAGAAACACAGGATGGAGGGGGTTGGATATGACCTTTAAGATGAAATAAAGGGAACCTTTGCTATGACAGATATTTAAATGCTACAGCACATTGACGTGAGTTGAAATGAGTTTACATGTAATGAGAGAATATTTGAAATGAGTTAACATGAATTTGATCAATCACCTAGTAATTGTCAGTCTCAGAAACATCACAGAAAATCAGCATTGTCTGGAGTAAACTACATAAACCTTTTAAGGACAGCAGTCATTTCTAAAAAGGAGAAGTGTGCCAGTCAGAGGAAATGTTTTGTGCTAAAGTTAGCAGTGGAACAGCAAATATAGATAAGGAATGGCACACATGTATCCACAGATCTGTGAGAAGATGGGAAAATACCCTAATGTCTCAGTCTCTCCTGCCTTTTGCAGTTTGCAGTCATTTAGCTTATTAATAACTGTTACATAATAGCAAGAACAATAGTCTGACCCTCACTTTTTGACAGGGATAGTTCACCAAAATCTTTTAATTCTGTCATTGTTTACTCACCTGTCATTGTTTTTTTTTTATCAGAGTCAGCGTTTAACATAAAGGTTAAAGGGATAGTTCACCCAAAAATGAAAATTCTGTCAGTAATTACTCACTCTCATGTTGTTCCAACCCCGTAAGACTTTCGTTCATTTTCGGAACACAAATTAAGATATTTTTGATTAAATCTGAGAGCTGGCTCACTCCTCCATAGGCTTGTAAGGGATCGAAACTGGCCGGCCCAGAAAAGTTATTGACATCGTTAAAATAGTCCAAGTGACTACAGTGGCTTAAGTTTTTTTAAATCTTAAGTTATGATATGATATCTGCCAGCCCAGAAACGTTAGTAAAAACATTGTTAAAATAGTCCAAGTGACTACAGTGGCTCAACCTTAAGTTTATCAAGCGACGAGAATACTTTTTGTGCGCAAAACCCCCCAAAAATAACGACTTTATTCAACTATTCATTTTCTTCTGTGTGGGCCTCAGAGTTAGTTCACGTAGTGTAACAGCGCAGCGCTTTGGGTTGTACGTCAGAATGTAGGCTCACTATTGGCCAGCATCACACGCATCACAGATGACCAGCGTCGGTCAATAGTGAGCCTACGTTCTGACGTACAACCCAGAAGCGCTGCGCTGTTACACTACGTCAACAGTTTAGGAGAATGACATGGAAGAGAAGAGATGGTTGAATAAAGTCGTGATTTTTGTTTGTTTTTGCACACAAACTATTCTCGTCGCTTGATAAACTTAAGGTTGAGCCAGTGTAGTCACTCGGACTATTTAAACGATGTCTTTACTCTTTACTAACTTTTCTGGGCTGGCAGATATCAATTACTAGCAGCCTATGGAGGAGTGAGCCGGCTCTCAGATTTCATCAAAAATATCTTAATTTGTGTTCTGAAGATGAACTAAAGTCTTACGGGGTTGGAACAACATGAGGGTGAGTAATTACTGACAGAATTTTCATTTTTGGGTGAACTAACCCTTTAATATATAATGATATTCTTTTATTATATGTATTAAAATAGATACAAAATAGTTTCATGTCCAGTAAAAAAAAGATATTTTTAAAAAATATTTACAGGGGGTAAATTTTCTTCTCTCTCACTGTTGGAGGCGTGATAATAAAACATATTCTGTGTGTGTCCTTGCATTAGTCCCTTTATCCCTTGCTGTAATATCACACATCAATGATTTTTAAAGGCCAGCTGCTCACATGCACCAGTGCTGACTGTGTTGTGTTGGGTATTCATCCAATAAAGGAAATGGAAAGAATTATATCAGCTACCGTTATATCATTAACCAAGGTTAATAGAACATTTTGTTGAGAACGAAGAGTGAGAGAGGGAGATTGCCAAGTAGTGTATGAAGAAAGTAACAACCATGCTTGCCAGTAGTGTTGGAGAAACCTTTATCGAGTCAGAATCAGAGAGGGATTTCATGCATGACTGACTCTGCCAACTTCACATGCCTGTAGTTATATAAGAGCACTCTTAAGAGTTAACCCTTTCCTTTCCTTCTTCCCTAAACTAGCCTTCATGCTTCCACTTTTTTTTTACTCTGAATAAAATGTACCCTTAATTAACAATTCTAGAAGATGAAAAAAGGATAAATGGGAAAAACAATGAAGTATGTCCTGACTCATTCCTAGTGTCATGTTCATAAAGCTAATGGTATAACTATGGGGAAGTGCAGAACTCACTTGAAGGCCTGTTTGGGAGCGTTTAGAGCTTGCTTTTTTGTATGGCTCATGTACTGGTGATAAAATCTTTATTTTGTCTCTCCAGCTGGGCTTTGCTGACCTCAACTTGGCGGAGTTTGCTGGTTCGGGCTCCACGGTTCGCTGCTGTATACTGGAGGGCTACGACACCAAGAACACTCGGCAGGACAACTCTATACTAAAGGTGAGTGTGTCCCCGTTTGTGTACATGCTTGTGCGTATAGGCGTGGGTGCTGGTCGTCTCTTATCTCATTTCAGGAGTGAGACTAGACATGTCCCTTTTGATGGGCCAGCAACACACAGTCAGTCAGACCAAAACCACTACCTTTTTCATCTTGAAACACCAGGAACCTCTTTCTCTGCATTATTCTTAGCACCTTCTGAGTTTATTTTAAAAGGAGGCAGAAGCACTGTTCTCACCACAAACAGTGTCATCTAGAGCTGCTACACTGTGTGGGCAACTTGACTGTTCAAACCCTCTCATGAGTCCCTGAAATGACAGACTGACTGACTCACTGTCTCTTAGAAATGTCAGGAGGAAAAATGTGAAGGAAAAAACAACAGATAACATTTAATCATAGATATTTTTGTAATTTTGACTCATGTTAATCTAGATGTTATGTGTATGTTCCCACAAGCAGTCTGTTTTACTATCAAAATTGTATTATTTTTTATTATTTAACTTTTATATTTTCATATCTCTTCCCAGGTTACCATTGGCATGACTCTTCTCTCTGGAGATCCCTGCTTCAAAACGTGAGTGTATTGTATAGTGTAGAGTAACTTTGTATTTCTGAATTCTGCATCTGTCTAGTTCAGTCATTTTCTCCCAGAGGCCTCAGAAAACTTCTCAAGCCTCAAGACGGCTAACAATGATTTCAAATAAGGGAAAACAAGATTTAAAATACATTAAAACAATTACTTCTTAATTTCATTCGCTGCCTTCAACCACTGTTGATTCTTTGAAGAACCAGGGTCTTGGAAGACCTGGATGTGATTTCTATACCTGGAAAAGTCATGTTGTAAATGCTGTGCCATTTTTATTAAGAATGTACTTTTTTCTAGTTACGTCGAGCTCTAAAATATTTTATTAGGTAGAAATTGTGAGTAAAAAATATTTAGACAAATCCTTATCTTTAATCCTTATCCATTAAATCACAAATTACTAAAAATGTCATATACATTATTTGGTTAGAAGTGTGATTCCTGAAGAACATTCAGTTCTTGAAAGTTTTGGAGTTCTGTAAAGTTGAGAACCACTGGTCTAGTTAAAAGTGCATTTTCTTGATCCATGGTCAGTACAGCACCCCTCCTGTATTTTAGGCCATAGAGAGAACACGTGTGCCTGTTGCTCACTGGTGACATCTAAAGTTGTCTTTCTCCTCTTCCTCAGGCCTGTGAGCACAGCTAAGACCATTGCCATGGCTGGGCAGGACCCCTCTCTGCAGCTGGACCGCAAGGGAGAGGGCACCGCTGACCACTCTTCTGCACCCCTCGGCGGCGGCACTCGCCGATCAGTCAAAACCAGACCCTCTGTGAACCACTCGGGTATGACCAACGCATCTCTTCTGAAATTGTGGAGAACGTTAACAAGCTGATAAAAGCTTTCCATTTGTAATTGCATTCAAAATGTACAGTTTAAATATTTTATTATGATTTTGTAAGGACTATCTTGAAAATGGTATACTGTTGGTGTTCTATAAAATGAATGGGGTGAACCTGAAGCTGTTTGTTCTCAGGAGGCCTTCAGCAGGGATTGGAGGAGAACCTGTCCAGTCCAGATGAAGTGTTCCACACGGGACACTCTCGCAACTCCAGCTTTGCCAGCCAACATAGCAAAATCTCAGGTGGGACTCAGGGCACGATCAAAAGAACATCAGGTACAGATTATAGCTGATTACAGTATAAAAAAAAACCTTCAATCTAAACTTCTATCATTTACATTTAATCATTTAGACTTATAATTGAATAAAATTTTGAGCATTTTATAATACAGGACAAAAGAGCCATTTTTGTGTTCTAAAAACAAAACAGAGAAATTTTCACTTTTTTAGTTTTAAATGCATACACTACCGTTCAAAAGTTTGGGGTCTGTACAATTTTTAAATGTTTTTGAAAGAAGCCTCTTATGCTCCCCAAGGCTGCAAAAACACAGTAAAAACAGTAATATTGTGAAAATGTATTACAATTTAAAATAACTGTTTTAATATACAATAATAGTAATTTAGTTCTGTGATGGCAAAGCTGAATTTTCAGCATCATTACTCCAGTCTTCAGTGTCACATGATTCTTCAGAAATCATTCTAATATGTCGATTTGGTGTTTAAGAAACATGTTTATTATTATCAATATTGAAAACAGTTGCTGCTTTTATTTGTGGAAACAGTGATACTTGTTTTTCTAAAGATTATTGATCAATTGAAAAAATCAAAAGATCAGTGTTTATTTGAAACAGTGTTCACTTTTGATCAATTTTAATGCACCCTTGTTGAATTTCTGAAGTGTACTTATTGAGCTTTTTTTTTTCTTTTTCTTTTTTTTCTTTTTTTTTTACATCGGAGAGTTTTACTTTTCATTTGTACAATACTGCTATGGTCAAGAGAACTGCTAAGTCACTGATGCACTGATTTGTGGGATGTGTTTGTCCTTCACTCAGGCTACAGCACAGAGCACTCTCACTCCTCCAGCCTGACAGATCTGTCCCAGCACCGGCGGAACACCTCCACCAGCAGCAGCAACACATCAGGAGGCACGTCTACAACTATCGAGAGCCCCGTAGAGCCGGAGAAAGAGGTGGTCAAACCAGAGAGGCCCCCACGTCCCCCTCGGCCTGCTCTGCCCCCAAACAGACCCTCAAGGTGGGCGGAGTCACTCAAAGTTATTTTATTGTCTTATGTTTAACTGCACGAGCAAAAATGGGATGTAGCTTAAACACAAAGTAAAACGTGACTGAGTATATTTGAAAGAAAAGAAGTATCTATATATCTACACAGGAGAAAGAAGGACTCTGTGGAGAGCCATCCAACATGGGTGGACGACACACGAATCGATGCAGATGATATTGTGGAGAAGATTGTGCAGAGTCAGAACTTTGCGGATGTCAGCAACAATGAAGGTGTGTTGAGAAGCAACAGAGAACTCCTCTTTAGCCCATTTATTTACGTTCAACACTGATACAATACTGATACTAAAATACTACTCGCTTATGAAGCTCATTCTGTCATCATTCTTTCTCTCACAGACAGCAACTTGACACTTTTTATCAGTAGGGATGGTACCACAGCGTTAAGTGGCATCCAGCTTGTCAACAGGTAAATTGGTACTCTTTTATATGCCTTTTTAACTTAGTGTTATAAATGTAGAAAAGTCTAGTAAGAATTGAATTATTAATTTATTGCTTATACTACCATTCAAAAGTTTGGGCTTGGTAAGATTTTTTTTTTATGTTTTTGAAAGAAGTCCCTTATGCTCACCAAGGCTGCATTCATTTGTTCAAAAACACAGTAAAAACAGTAATATTGTTAACTATTATTACAATTTAAAATAACTGGTTTCAGCAACATACAGTATTTGTACTCAGACAGTTATGCTTCAGTATCATGTGTGATATGGTTCTTTTGTTCTTTGGCAGGGTGTCTGCGGGTGTTTTTGAACCGGTGGTGATTGAGAGCCATTAGAACACTGAGGCCGCGGCGGTCACTCTTTCACAAAGCCACATGTTTTTTTTTTTTTAAATGATGGAGAGAGCAAGACTGTATGTCAGAGTAGGCAACTAACTTTACAACTTGCTCATCTTGTGGGTCTGACATGTTACAACCGTAACACCTTAATCATGCATTACAAATGCTGATGAAAATGGTGGTGGGTACGTTTTTTTTTAAAATTATTAATAATCGTAAATATTTACAGCGGATTCTGAGAATACAAACTACTTGAAATGCCTTAAGAAGTGAGGCACGATGGGAACTTCAGTCTAACACTGTGAAATATGAGGGCAGTCCAAAGGATTTAGATGGAAATTCAGTTCAATGTTAGATTAAAATTTGAATCGATTTTCAGATATTATTTAATGTTTTAAACAGGGGTCATTTAATCTCTTTTATTTCTTTGTGATGCATTTCTAGCCCCTGTTATCTGCCGTCACATACATTTTAATAATTCAGTAACCAGTCAATTGGCCTGTGGTAAACATTACCTGAAATCATGTATGGCTGGCCATACAAGTATGTCTGAGGCGGAGAAAACCATTCTCCCCGTATAACCATTTTCAGTATCTCAACACTTGTGCTTGTTTGTCAGAGGTGGGCAAGGGTTTGCTTACCGATGTTCCAGCTGGACTGGTGTACATGAAATACAGAAATATACTGTACTGCCCCCCTCTCTTTCACATTCACTTTCACTTTCAGTAAAATTCCCAATTTCTAATTCAGTCTGTCAGTATTTCTCTTTCATTATTCGAATTTTTCCCTTTGCTGCTGGTTTCAGCTTCAAATATTTGTGTCACTCTGTGCACACAACACAAACAGTACAGCCAAGCCATTTGTGGCATTCTTTCGCTAGGGTTCTTGTCAGTATCAAAATGTTCTGTAGAATGACTTGCATCCTAGCGAGATCGTGTATTCAGAAGCAAGAGCAAATGATTTGTAGAGTCCTTGTTGTAAGACACAGCTGAACAATTGCATTGTTTTTAGAACTAGATCAGAGACAGTGACTCATAGTCACACGTCTGTCCTTGGCAACTGTGTTTCTGACCGGCACCTGGTGTGCCCTAGGAAACAGTGTACAATAGGCATGACAGTGAAACAGAACGGAAAGCCCAGTTTTCTGTTTCTCTGTCATGTACTGCTTGTTTGTCATCTAATTCATGATCTTAATCATGGACATGAATCTTTCTCAGTTGATCTGAGAGCATTGAACACAAATTAAAAACTGACATTGTGAGTTTTTTTTAATACTCATATCGCACACTTTTTTTTGTCAGTTGAGAGAAAAGTGCAATGTGGGCCCGTTGTTTTGTGAAAGCCCATTTTTGAGTTTGTTCAGGGAATTGGCCCTTAAATATTTCACCTGTCCAGTGGCTTAAAAAATGATGTGCTTAAACAGAATCACTGTTCACATTTAAAAGTTTTAACTTTTTTTATTATTGTTATTATTCATGCCGTTTTAACGTAACAAATGAGTCCGTGGCATGTTCCAGCTGCTTCTCTACAGGATTAGTATTCCTGGAAATGTAAAGTAACACTAACTTTGAAAGGGGAAAATACCCAGTAATTATGCGGCCTGGTAAAGCCTAGTGTTCTGGATGTTTCTAATTAGCTAGTATAAAGGGATTCTCTAAAGACACTGAAAATCTAAATGTTTTTGTTGTTTACTCTTTGTACCTGTTGTCTACTTTATTAGCTGTTAAGAACAATAACTCTATTCTGTCATATCTGTTTTTTCGAACCAGCTGGCTGGTTCATTTGATTTTTATTTATTTTTTTTGTGGGATTTTTTCCCTCAACCTTGATTCAGAATATTTCTATGGTCTAACATTTGTGATGGCATGAAATAATGACCATCTGTGATTATTGTTCTCTTTCTTTCTTCTCTCTCTTTATCTAACAAAGACTTTTATAATGTTGATGTTTTTAGTTTTTGACTAATCTGTGATCTTTCTAATGTAGAAGTGTGTGTGTGTGTGTGATCTATTTAAGATGCTGTTGCAGGGAGATGACTGGGGGTCTATATGCAAAAGTTCATGTTGGAAGCAAGACAGATGATGTAATTTATTATAAGTTTTACATTTCAGTAATCTGGATCCCTTGTTTTCTTGAAAAATTATGTTGTTCACTTGACACGTGTTCATTCACGTAAATCAATATATTGTATTTTATCAGTTTAAAGAAAAGAATTAAAAAGACCAAATGGAACCCAGCAAAAAATATGCATGTATGAACTACACTGAGTGGCACAGGCTCCAGGATACTGAAAACCTTAGATGGTGTATATACATGTGTGTGTGTGTGTGTATATATATGTGTGTATATATATATATATATATTCACTACAACAGCACTTAAATACCGAGGACTAACTAATGTCACTCACACATTCTCCAGAATGTTGATCTGCATTTCTCCTTTAAGCTATGCACTTACAGAAAGCTTTTCATGATAACATCCATTTTAATAACAGCAAAATTCATTAGAAAATAAATTGTATTCTGGAGATTTCTTTAAAAATATATAACATATAAATGAATTTACCACTAAAGTACTATGGAAATACATTTATTTTTCTGATTGTGACAAATATTTATATTTTAAGATCGCACATAAGCAATGTGGTGTTTCTCCAAAGTTTTCTTGGTCTTATGTTTGGTTTCATGCATGGAGAGGATACTTTCTAACGATGGACCGGAACTGTATTTCTACACTTAAATGTGAATGTTTCTTTAATGTAAATGTCTGATGAGGTTGTCTATATGTATTATTTTGGGGAAATAAAGATAATGTTGGATATCATAATACACAATCTTTGTTTGTGTGACTTATTTAACATCCAGCTCATTATGAATGATTTACTTGTGAATTGTGTATTTTTTCATTGCCAGCATACAGAATAATTCTGTATTCCAAACGAAAAATAAATGTACAGTTTAAAACTGTAATTTTTATTTGCTAGAAATGAAGCTGAAACTAAATGTCTCCAAACTGTCCCATTTTGTTTAGTCTTTGAATTAGAATTAATTTACTTGCCCCCAGTTTCGCAGACAATGCTTAAGCCTTGTCCCAGACTAAAATGCATGTTTGAGCTGTTTTAACTGAAAGCAACTTTCACTAACATATCTTAAAATATGTCAGTGCCATTGTTTTGTCTCAATATGCACACCAGTAATGTTGTTTTAAAGCATAAATATATAAGCATATTTATAAAAGATACTTAAATATCCTAATTAAACTAGGGCCTATAATCATGGCTTAATCTAAGCACTGTATGTAAAACCGGGCCGGAGTTTATTAAACTTAGTTCCTCTGAAAGTTATATTTTTTGTGAAACTTAACTTGCAGGAGGATTATGCTGTTTTATGTTTCCTCTCCTGTAGTTCATTTATAACGGGTTACTTACAACCAAACCAAAAACTAAATAAACAGACTGCGAGAGACGTTCGCCTAAATATTTGTCTTTGAGCGCCCTCGTGTGGTGAACAATACAATTACCACAGTGAGATAAAAAAAACTACATTTCCTAGCACGACTTCCGTTGTTAGTCGGAAGTAGATTTCATAAATTTTGGTTGCATACGGAAGTGGCACGTACATAATGGTAAGATTAACTGAATGGATGTAAAAGTGTTATGTCTTTGTCGTTTTCACTTTAAATATATTAATATTACACTTTACAGGGCGCCACGTTGTTTCTAGTGATTAACTGTCTAACTTTCTAGTAACTGGGATAAATAAGCTACTAGTTTCACACTGTATAGTTCGTACATAAGTCACCAATACAAAAATAGTTATTTGTTCGTTTACATTGACTTGTTCAACTTCAATATTATATATTTGTTCATTTCTTTATGACCGCTGTTGAATGCATAATTTGCCCTGCCACATTCAGGCATACAGTAGATACCCCTCATATAAGTTACACCATAAGTTGAGTGCAGGGATGACGTCAAAACGTTACCTCGAGATCTGGAAACCTATGGGTTTTTATAATGTTTTTTGTTTGTTGTTTTCAACTTATGGGTGAAATATGGTCTGTGGTAAAATAACTTGTCGATACTTGAACGTTTGAAGCTGTTATGTTTATTTTAAAAATATATATATTTCTATTAAGTTACTAAATAATAACTTTTGGTGTGTGAGTGTGTGCAGTTTACGTTGTGGATTAGAGCAAAACGTTCAAGTATATAAAAAAAACCCGTCAAGTTATATTTACCACAGTGTCAGACCTTATTTTAATTAATATTAATCTTTTGTGTTTTGACTTCATCCCTGCACCACTCCATTTTTGCAAGATAAACTTGAGTTATCATTTGTTTCTCAGTTTGGAGTATGGAGAACATTACAAATCCTAAATGTTAATTCCTCAAAAATGTTATATTTGTTTTATATATTAACATATTAGAAAAGTGAGACTTTATAATGTAATTTGCACTTATATGTGAGCCAAACCCTAAAAACTATTTCTTTTCAGGCAACTGGAGCAGATCAAGCTGTCGGCTTTGGACTTGTTGGCTTTAGTCTGTTACTGTTCTCATATTACACTATTTGGGTCATAGTCTTGGTAAGTGTTTTTTTTCTTAAGACATGCTTTTTTTCATATGCTACTGAACAAATATTGAAGTGATCAAACATTGATGCAAACTCTTCTGCCCTTGTTCCAGCCTTTCGTAGACAGTGACCATGTGATCCACAGCTATTTTCTTCCACGAGAATATTCAGTCATACTTCCTGGAGTCGCAGCATTAATCCTCTTACTATTTGTTGGTAAGTAAAGCAAGCAATATGTCACCGTCAATGTTATTCATTAAATTCAACTGTACAACCATGTTAATTACTCATGCCTCAGTACATGCTGGACAAGAGAGCGAATGAGACTTAACCACTAAATCTTTATTAGATTGCAAGAAAAAGTTTTAAACAGAAAATGTTTCTCTGTTTAATCTAGTGATCAAATTTACCCTCATTTTTTCAGGCACTTTCATAGGAGTCGTAACATGGAAGAATCGAAAACCTAAGAAAATTGATTAAGACCCTTCATGCTGCTGTGATTTATCTGGTCAGAAGAACGAACTGTGTTGATTTCACTCATCTACCACTTCCTGTACACAGCCACGTGAAGCTGCTCTCCTGGATTCCAGTCATGTTCATGTGTTTGGTAAAATAAAAAACAAAAATAGAGTTCATTTTAGTAGCCAAAAGCAGTATTGAACATTTAGTTAAACTGTAGTTTAATTGAGCTTTGTACGTCCCGTCTCCACAACCTTGACTTAAGACCACACTAGTTGTGAGATGTTCAGCTTTGGAGAATTATTTCCATAATCAGGAAGTTAAAGGCAAATAATACGTGAGATCATAATTTCATCATCTAAGACAATGGGGTAGATATGTGTGTACTTTATATCTGGATGGCATCTAAATGGAATTTGGGATTTTTTTCAACTGTTCTCTTATGTTGTAAATAAACATATTTATAAGGTAGAGTGCTTGCTTCTAGCAGCAAAATAATTTAGGACAATAATCTAAAAAGAACGAGAAAGAGAACTTTCTGTAAAACCATACACAATCCCACATAAAAATAATAAAAAATATGCAACATTTAGTACAATGTCATGTGTTTGTTTTTCTCACCCATTTTATATGTATTACTTTATCTATCTATCTATCTATCTATCTATCTATCTATCTATCTATCTATCAAACTCATACAATGCGTGTCATATATCATAAACTATTCAAGAATTGTATGAGATCGATTTATTTCTCGACAGGTGACGTTACTTTGTATTTTGTATAGTGGGCTATATTATATATAATATGTATAAATGTATATTTAAAACATATGGACCAATCAATGTTGCACTTTATATATTCATATTCACTATTCAGTTTTGTATATACTGTGTTTGTCCGTTAGTAGTTGTGGTGCATGTATTCAGTAACAGTGTGTGTTTGCTGCTGTGTTGTGGGATGGGCCGCTGCAGTGATGAGAGACTGATCGAGCGCGAGCAGCGGCTCATCATACACACACTGGCCGTGTCATGTCACGCGAGGACAGAACCAATGCTCTGATCTTCACGGACGACGACATGTATTAGTGACCCCATAATGAATCGCACGGAGGTAGGTACATAATATTTTTATTTATTAGACTATTCTATTCCTTTTTATCGAAGTGAATGTAAACTCAAGTTCCTCTGACAGTTCAACAAACGTCTTCCTGTTTTAAAATGTTCTGTTTGTTAAAATGTACATCAAATAGGCTACTAGCCATGTCGGATTCACAATTTTATATATCTAAAACTTTATTTCGGACTTGGCTTTCTCTTAATTCTGTCCTTCATACGAGGATCTGATGACAGAGGTATTTTTAAGCCACAGACCGAGGGAGGAAAAACCTGAAACGAGATTGGAAAATTGAATTTCTTCATACATAACAGCTGATTACCATTTCTGGAAACAAATAAACTTCTGATTACAAATTTCTCTGGCATTCAGTTGACAGTGGTGAAAAGCCCATTTAGGCACATGACAGTTGGGAGGACAAACCAAACAGGCTGAACTGAGGCAAAATTGTCTACAGTGGTTAGCAACTATGATTTCCTTGCGTGCATACAAAATACTGATGTCTTTAAAGAGCAGTGCATTTATTGCAACTAATGGCATGTTAGATTTGTGCTGTGACCTGCTGCAGGGGCTCTTTTGTTCTCCCATGATGGTGCTGCATTCAATACTAAAGACGGATTTCAAATCATTTGGTATTTTCCTGTCTGAGTGACTACACATTAAGACCTCTAAGACACTTGAATAGAAACAGATTTTGACTTGTTTATCTGTTGTTAGGGAGACAGACTTCTATCAGTTTCAAGATGATGACAAATCCTTGCCATTATAACATGAGAAAAGTATAGAGTGCAGTAATAACTTCTCACTTTATTATTATTATTTATATAAAATATACATATATTCAACTATTTTTTTTAAGTTTAATATTGTATATAAAAATTACACACACACACACACACACACAAATCCCCCCCCCCCCCCCCCCCCAAGCTTCCAGTTCCATCTTTTACCAAAAATACTGATAAAACGTAAGGGATCAGTGATCAGTCAGTAAACAAACCTTACATCTGTCAGCATGTGGTTTCTACTAAGGCTTTGCAAGTTGTTTGTAGATGTGCTGTATTGAACTACATGGCTATTGTATGTTGTAGATGGAGATGTCAGGGCCAAGTGTGAGCCGACACAGTCGAACAGTGAAGAGGAAACGGTGGGGTGGACTGAGGCAGCAGTTGAAACTGCTGGGTCTGTTTGAGATCGACCAGCAGCATGAGTTCTACAGTCTCACCTGTATGATGAAGGAAGGGCTGTTTGCCGCTGTGCAGAACAACCCTTTACGTGTGAGTATTCCCATGTTTATAAACCTACACCCCATCCAGTCCCTATTGAATATCACTTTTTCCATTTTTAGGTAAAGATTACAGAGGGGAAAATGCAGTCAGAGCTAGAGTTTTTCCTTGGGGTCCATATAAGATATATAAAACAGAATTTCCTTTAAAAAAATTAATATTTCTGCCTATTCACAAAGCTATTATAACATGAGTATAGTATAGAGTGCAGTAATAACTTCTCACTTTATTATTATAATTTATATAAAATATACATATGATATATTCAACTTTTTTTTTTAAAGTTTAATATTGTAAAAATACACACACACACACAACCCCCCCTTAAAGTTTCACCAAGAAAATCTAGCCTTTTTTATTGGGGGAAGAAACCCCTTAATTTAGAGTTATTTTAGATTTTCTTTATTGTTTTAATGTGTCTTTATTAATCTAATAAATTAATAATTAACTAGTGTTAGCATATTCACCACTCAAACTGTTATGAATAAATGTATATGTACAGAGATGATTGTAATCAAACAGGTTTGGAATCATGAAATCAAAACCAAAATACAGTCACGTGGAAATAAGCAATTCAGCTCACATTACATTTTCAGTGTTGAAGTGCATATTGAAATAAAATGTGAGAGAGACAAAAGCTTGGCATGATCAAACACCTCCAAGGAGACAGACATGCTCCATTTGACATTAATTAGTATGCGGGCTAACCTCCGTAGAGAGGAGCATATTTCTTTCCATGGAGACTGTGTGTTTGTAGTGCTGAAAATGCACTATATTACAATGTTTTAGCTTGATTAAAGCTGTTTTTATCCTGGTAATTTGCTCAAGAGTAACAGAGCAGGGGGAGTGGAAGAGTAACCAAGTGTTTCGGTAACAAACACCAATGTACTGTGCACGCATTCAATTCAAACAATGCAATGTTTCTCACAGTGCTACAGTACCACAAGAGAGAGCAGAAATGTTAAAGCTAAAATCAGTGGCTTCTTGTTAACCAAGATTAAGAGACCACGTAGAATGCAGATGGTTAAATGGCATAAGTAAATAATAATCACAAGTATAATATCTAAGCTTTAGTGTATTTTAGATGAACAAGATACTTTTCACGTCTGAACTTGCATGCAAGCATTTTTATGTTGTAAACCATTTTATAAAAGGAATAAGACACTCAATCTCTTGCTATATTGTGAATATAGTCATGGTTAAAGCGCATTTATTTATCGTAGTTAATGATAATCTGAACATTTACTAATATATATATTTTAAGGTTGTATAAGTTAAAAAGTTGTATCTGTTAACATTAGTTAATGCACTGTGAACTATCATGAACATTTTGTATGAATTATTTGTTCATGTTAGTTAATGCATTAACTAATGTTAACAAATAAGACCTTATTGTAAAGTGTCGCCCTGTTTTGTAGTGTGGTGGCACTCATAGTCATGTGCTCGATCGCTAACAAACACACAGACACAGATGATGTTTCAGACCCCAGACTGCATTGAATCCAGTCTGCTTATGCAGCAGTATGACTCATGAATGTGCTGCCTGTTGTCCAGGGCTTAAAGCATCTCTCTCACACAATTAAACAACAAAAAGAAAAACATTGCCTGCAAAAGCAGGTACTACTAAAATATGATTACTTATCATTACTGATCATATATTTTGTTTTTAGGATGAGCTGTGTGAAGATGACTACAATTTTGAGTTTACTCAAATCCATAAGGTACATGTACATTAATGGAAAAAGCGGACACTGCTTACTGTAATTTGAGCATTTTTTGCTTTACTGGACAAAATGTGATGTAATAACTAAGCAGCTGTTTAGCATTGGCATACATAATTTCTACTGAATCTCATCAGTTGTGTTTGTGACTGTGTGAAGGACTTCAGGATGGATACGTATGCTGGGCCGGTGTTTTCCAGTCTGCGGCGCTCCCTGGGGATGACAGAGAAGGAATACCAGCAGTCCCTCTCCTCCGAAGGCTGCTACCTGCAATTTATCAGCAATTCTAAGAGCAAGGCAGACTTCTTTCTAACGTAAGTCAGCACAAATGTTTCGCTTGCAGGAGCATAAGCAACAGAGACAGCATAAAGAGGACACAGACTGCTTGTAGAGGAATTAATGGGAGAAATCACATCGATAGAGGCATTGGTGTGTATATATATAGTGCTTCTAACATGCTGTTATTTTGAGCTTTCTATTCATCAAAGAACCCTGAGAATAATGTATCATGGTTTCCACAGATATACTGTGTTAAGCAGCTGTTTCAACATTGATAATAATAAGAAATGTTTTAAAGCAGAAAATCAGCATACTACAATGATTTCTGAAGGATCATGTGACACTGAAGACTGAAGTAATGATGCTCAAAATTCAGCTTTGCTGTTACAGGATTAAATTACATTTTAAAAAGTATTAGAATAGAAAACAGCTATTTTAAATTGTAATACAATTTCACAAAATTACTTTGTACTGTATTTTTGATCAAGTAAATGCAGCTTTGGTGAACATACGAGACAGGTCAGTTAAAAAAAAACACTCTGACCCTCTCTGGATCTGTAAGTAAACTTTGTAATATCAATATGTTTGTTTGATATCAAACCAAATGTCATTTAACACACATTTGTCTCTCCTCTTTCCAGTAATGACAAGCGGTTCTTCTTAAAGACACAGAGTAAAAGAGAAGTGCGATTTCTCTTGACTAACTTGAGAATCTACATGGAACATCTGGAGAAGTACCCACACTCTCTGCTCGTCAAATTTTTGGGTGAGAAGCTGGCAGCTGGTAAAGTAACTTTAGCAAATTTTACTGGACAAATATTTTATATAGTTCATATGCATTATAAAATTAAATGTGTAATGCATGATGAGACGACTTAAAACCCTAAATTCTGATCTTTATCGCGTCCGTTTAAGAAATTGTCATGCTTTATTCATGAACAGGTGTTCACAGAATCAAAATTGCACATCAGAGGATGGTAATTATTTCATTTATTAAATATCTTTAATTTCCTGTCAATATTATTTATTATTTTATGGACCCCGCAGGTACATGTTATAAAACTCTATTGGTTTCCTGTGTGCAGAAGTACTTTATTGTGATGCAAAGTGTATTTTACCCTGATGACAGAATCGCTGCAAGGTAAGACTTGCTGTGTGTTATAAATGGAAATGGTGTTATCGCTCTGTCAATTATCAGTCCTGTAAATATTTAATGTTTCTCATCTCCCCATCACATATGGAACTTTCCTTTTGACCTACTGTAATCCACAGCCTTGCACTTATTGGTCATTAAATTGCATTGCCCTTTAGCTGTTACTTTTGGCTTGCACTTATAGTAAGAATGATGATCTAATCCATCACTCCCACCACCTTCTCCATTACTCCTCCTCCTAGCTTTACATTCATCCTTCTCTCTCAATGTTTAAGGTATGATATAAAGGGCTGTGAGATGAGCCGGTGGACAGACCCATCCTCTGAAGGCAGCCACATCATTGTTGTTTTAAAAGATCTTAATTTTGAAGGACAGTTCATTCAGTTAGGTAAGGTCAGTTCCTTGTTGGCAAAGGATATGTGCTGTAGACTTCATATGCACCTTTACATTCAATCTTATAGCTCCTTGTTCATATGACAGATCAGCAGCGTCCTTGGTTCCTGCGTCAGGTGGAGATCGACACAGCCTTTCTTCAGACACTCAATGTGTTAGACTACAGCCTCCTGCTGGCCCATCAGCCTCTGCACCAGGATGAACTCAGCGAGAATCTCTCCTTCGGAACACTCATCATCCGTACCAAAAAGTGAGCATAGTAAAGTTTAGTATACCATGCATATAGTCATCCATAAACAACCACAGACATTTACAAAGATGTTTTTAAGGAAGGTCTGCTTGTGTATATTCTGTACATATTTCAAATGATCCTAGTAAATAAGATCTAAATGACCTAAATCTAAATTTTTGTTGTTACTATTTCAGGCAAGTTAATGTACACTATTACTATTCCCATAAACAGCCAAGGTGTGACCGTGTTTTGAAAAGTGAGGGTTAATGTATAGTGAATGGAAACCTTCTTAAGGGAGATGCCAGTGTTATATTGTTTGTTTTCATTGTTTGTTCTCATTTCGAAGGCTGCACATTTGCTTAATTTCAGGAAAGTATCTATTACATTCCAAAGTAAGAAATAAATTACAGTAATTAATGCCTTATAAGGAATAGCAATAGTTCTTCAATGACGTATACAGACAATAAATGCAACCTCTGGAGGGGCCAGCCTTCAAAATGTTTATCTCAACATACTGTGATTACTTAAAAAATTATGTTGAATAGATACTGTAACAGTGGAGATTATAGTAATCTCAATTATAGTAAGTCTATAGGTTGGTGTAGTTTGGTTTTCAAAATCTATTCTTGACACAGTCAGACGGTACACAGATGCTTACGACTAGTCACCACTATCCTATTCAACTGAATGAACTACTCAGACTGATGTGCACACATATGATAGAGATAAACTTTATATGATTAAGAATACTGATGTTTGATTATGCTTCCATTGTTGTCATGGTTTAGAAACAATATTTCCTTAAAGAAGTATCTTTCTGCTGCCTCGTATCTCTATTTCAGTATTTAAGGATAACAGGCTTTTTTCCTGACTGTGAATGTTCATGTTCACATCTGTTTCCAGATCCTTCTCCTTCTCCAAATGGCCAATAGCCAGCAGGCATGTTGACAAATAATATGTAGATTTAATGTCATTTTTAAAATAATGTCTCAAAGACATAACACAAACTAAACTATAATAGCCATTACTACCATTCCATCATTCATTAAATATCATCTCATATACTGTATATATCCAACTTGTAAACTTATATTTCACCCCAAAAAAATGTCATTTACGGTACTCATTTTGATGTCTTTTGAAACCTTTATGACTTTGTTTCTTCCATAGAAACCAAAGGACGTATTTATAGCAGAATGTCCCAGCTGCTTTTCCATACAATGAAAGTGAACAGTGATCACGGACTGTCAAGCTTTTCAATGAACAACTTAAATGTCAAAGTTATCACATGACTTCAGTATGGGCTACTTTTATGGCTTTTTAGGAGCGTGATGTTTTTGGTCCCCATCCACTTACATTGTATGGAGAAGAGCAACGTGAACAAAACTGTCTATGTTTGTGTTCCATCTATTCCTTTAAAAGCATGAAAAATTCAGGTGATAAGCGACAGCCACATATTTTGATCAAATGGTAATCATTGATTTGGGTAATGTTCTTTGTTCTATTCTCTGTTCCTCTCTGACTGGTTGTTAGGTCAGTGAATGCAGCATCCGGTCCTTCACATGCTGCATCACCCACTGTTCCTGGGGTGGTGGCAGAGGAAGACTCCACACTCTCCGCAGAGTTAAATTGTGCAACAACACAGTGTCCCACAACAGAAATGCACAGTGGCAATGGAGGAACGGACAGTACAAGCCTTGAGGGAGACAAAATTGAGCAAACCAGTTGGATGGGAACAGAGTCAGCCGATCTACAAGAGTTCCAGGCCCAGAACCGGAGACTGCTTCCCAACTCCAAGAACCCGCTTCATGTCATTGATGGATCAGAGCATCGTTACTTCATCGGAATTATTGACATCTTCACTGTTTATGGTTTCAAAAAGAGGCTTGAGCATTGGTGGAAAAGACTGAGATACCCACAGCATACATTCTCCACAGTCAGTCCTCCAGCTTACTGTCACAGGCTGTGCCAGTGGGTTCAGGACCATACCAAATAAAATAAGACCGCTTGGAAAACAGAAGGCAGCTTTTAAGTTGACCATTTTGAAGTATCTGTTTATGAATAGCTTTGTTTAAATACATACAATGCTAATGGAAGTACTTGTTTAAACACTGTACTTCCAGAAAATGCAAAAGTTAAAAGTTGTGTTCATTTAAAATTGTTAACGCAAGTAATGGTGCAATGACCATTGTATAATGCAGATGATGCATAGGGATGAAAACATGAATATGTTTGATGAATTATGTAATACTGATTACATATATCCCATTCATTGAAGAGTACATTTTTACCACTTCACAATCCGCTGTTCAGACAGAAAGGATTTTGAGAGTAAACTAGATGGTAAAGTTCGTAGACAAACTTTAAGTTGGCTTGAAAAAGCCTAGACAGAAGTTTTAAACTGTTCTAGCTTGGTTTAACACGATGTACCATGTTTCTATGGTTTACCACATTGCTAGCATGATTTAGCATGTTTTAACATGACCATGGATGGATAGATCATCAAGATTAGTTAGAAAGAAAGAAAGAAAGATTAGAGATAGAAAGACATAAAAAGAAGTTAGAAGAAAGAAAGATTAGTAAGAAATAAAGATTAGTAAGAAAAAAAGAAAAAGATTAGAAAGAAAGAAAAAGAAAGAAATATTAGTTCGAAAGAAAACGAAAGAAAGATTAGTTAGAAAGAAAGAAAGATTAATTAGTTAGAAAGAAAGATTAATTAGTTAGAAAGAAAGATTAATTAAAAAGAAAGAAAGATTAGTTAGAAAGAAAAAGATTAATTAGAAAGAAAGAAAGAAAGAAGGAAAGAAAAGTTAGAAAGAAAGATTAGTTAGAAAGAAAGAAAGAAAGAAAGAAAGAAAGAAAGAGATTAGTAAGAAAGAAAGATAGATTAGTTAGAAAGAAAGATAGATTAGAAAGAAAGAAAGATTAATTAGAAAGAAAGATAGATTAGTTAGAAAGAAAGATTAATTAGAAAGAAAAATATTAATTAGAAAGAAAGAAAAATTAGAAAGAAAAAGATTAATTAGAAAGAAAGATACATTAGTAAGAAAGAAAGATTAGTTTGAAAGATTAGTAAGAAGTTAGAAAGAAAGATTAGTTAGAAAGATTAGATTAGAATAAATCACGATTCACATTTTCGCAAATAAATCACGAATCACTAACATCCCAAAAGGTCATTGGTAGAAGGCCTGTTTTTTTTTTTTTTTTTTTTTTTTTAAGTTTTAAACATAGGTCCGATTTGACCTGGCCACAGAAAATATTTTTTTAATAGTTATTTTTTCATAAAAACTACTTTTTAAATAACTTAATTTAGTTAAAATACTCAAAATACTGTGTTCAAAATAACTAAAATAATAAAGGGGTTAAAGCAGGCTGTGTAGAGGATGGCTGATGTAACCGATGGGAAGATCATTAAAAACTCCAGGTTGCATTGTCGATTCAGCCTCATCCTGCACAGTCGATCCTGTTGCAGGGACAACCAACAAGCTGATGTTGCTGAAACGCACACAGTGAAAACGCTGACACTATGGATTTCAATGTCAAGAAACTAGCGTCGGATGCAGGCGTCTTCTTCACTCGTGCTGTTCAGGTATGAAATGACCCAGTGCTTTCTGTTTACTTTACGGGAGTTGCGTTCAGCTATAAGTGACGTGCGTATAATTCGGTAGGATGGATGAACGCAGCAGCAGGCTCGAGTGAATGAACGGGACGAACAGCTTCGCTCTGTTGGCCTTTATGGAGGCATTCAGACACGTCGCTTTCTGTAAATTCAAATGTATCTGCCATTGTTCAACCGAACAATCCTTATGTCATTTTACGATGATCTGTATTTTCCTCGCCATTGTAAGCCGATAGACGCAAGCCAAGCCCGTATCCATTATTAATGGCTGTTCATGTGACAGTCACAGGCTTACAGAGTATTCACTGTTCACTAGAGAACAGTTAATTGTTTTTATTTTTAAGATGCATGTTTAGAGGTGCTTACGTTATAGTTTGTCCAAAAAAAAAAAAATCAGCCTATTAAAAAATATATAGGCTATAACGTTACTCCGCTATAGCCTAATAACCACAAGACAGTAAACAAAGTTTAAAGGGACATTTCACCCAAAAATTGAAAACATTGTCATCATTTACTCACCCTCATGTTGTTCTAAACCCCTATGACTTTGGTTCTTACACTGAACACAAAATATGTTCTGCTACTGTTCATGCTAGTCATAAAATGTTCAATTGGACGGCTCCAAAAATGAGAAAAATGCTATCAGAGTAATTTCTTAAATTTCATGTTCATTGTGTCTGTACATCACGCAAAGCTGTTTATCACTCATTTTATGATACTTTTTTTTCAATATATATATATTTTTTTAAGCAGTATTAATATCTAAGTATTTAATTGCTGTAAAGAAAATCTTAAAGGTTTTGGAACAACATCAGAGAGATCATTTCATTTAAATAGACCTTCTTGTATGCAGAGCACTGAACGATGTCTGGCCAGCTGGTGTGTATGTGTGACTGAATCTGTTTCCATGATGTGGGTGGTTTGGCTTAAAAAGTTTCTTTTCTTTTTTTTTATTCATTCCAATATTTGTAATTTATTTTGTAGGCCATGTGACAGATGATATTTTCAGTAAAATGGATTAATTGTTTCTGAAGGATACACCTTTTATAGGTCTATTATAGGTCTATTATCACAAAAAAATACAATTACAGTCAGCATGAAATTTACTTTGTTAGCGCACATTACTAGTCTTATGCTACAATTCATCCTCGCAAGTTAACACACACACACACACACACACACACACACACACACACACACACACACACACACACACACACACACACACACACACACACACACACACACACACCAAAAACAAATGTCTTCGTAATCTCTAATAAAAATCTGTAAATGTACTTCCCCTCTGGAATAGCCTTCCCTGACAGTGAGCTGAATGGAATGCCTTCTTTTCTAAATCCATTTAATTCCCAGTGGGGAAATAATTCCCAGCCATGCCTCCTATTTTTCTCATTCAGTATTCCGTTTCACTCTGAAAATACGTCACAATACTGAAGTAAAGTTGGTCGCAGCTTCCAGTTCACACGGACTTAATACAAAATGCAAGAATTTTATTTGATTGATAATTAACTGATAACTTGAACCAATATGTGATGATCCTAAGACATGTATGAATAGATAAAATTAGTCATCATGAAAATGACATACATTCAAAGCTGTAGATGTAGACGGAATCCTTCATGCTGAGTCGCAGCGTGTAAATGGGATTTATGTCTTTCACCTTAGGCCTGAATTTTATGCTCAGTCAGCAGGGGTCTTCCCTGCGTGTGAGTGAAATATCAAACACCAGCATTATTTTTTTTTTCACCTTGTCAGAGGAAATCTTTACTGCAGGTCCACTGGTATTCCAGGAGAGCCAGAGAGCATTTGGTCAGCTGTTAGCTACTGATTTTCAACATTGACTGAGATTTTAGCCTCCACATCTGGATATTAAGTGAATATAATCTGCAAAGGCCCAAACAAACCTGTGCCATACAACACTTGTCTGACCCTCTTCCATTTTATTCTTGTTATGTCTCCCCTGAGAAGACACAACACTGTTTGCCGTCCAGGGACCAGGTGGAGGGGGTGTCCCCATCCCTATCAGCCAATCACCTTAAGCATCCCTGCTTAGCCAGTCACTACTACTGTACCTGTCAGGGATTTATTTGGGAGCAGATCATTATCACTCAAAGCCACAGTTTTCTCATTGAGTTACTGCAGTCAGAGCCAGTGCACATGAGCTGTAGATTACTGCCTATACATTAGGCCTGCTCTCAGAGAACAGATTTTTAGCAATGTATGATTATGTTGGCCTTTTTTTGACCTGTTATTTTTTGATAGGAAGAAAGTCATAATGCCAGCAAATCATGTGAATAACTGTAAGAGTTCTTCTCCTTTTCTTGCTGACAATATTCGGTCTTTGAAGAGTACAAGAATGCTCTGATATGAACGTCTGGTTTGGCAGTCTGAATTGTTTCGTGTGTTCTTCAGTACACAGAGGAGAAGCTTGGCCAGGCAGAAAAGACTGAGTTAGATGCGCATCTGGAGAACCTGATCGCTCGAGCAGACTGCACCAAAAACTGGACCGAAAAGATCTTCAGACAGACCGAGGTGCTGCTTCAACCCAACCCAAGTAAGTATCTACATGGGCATTTAATGTTTAAGATTTTGGGTCATATGCCTAAGCCCCTGTTTTGCATTTTCTTAAAGAAAATATTTTGTTATTGAATATGGTTTGAAATGTGTGGCCTTAAATCTGTTGGAAAATGTCTCATGTTGTTGACATTTCCCATTAACATGATGAAAAGGAACATCTGTTTGTTGGCTTCTGAATCAATTTACTTTAATGTATCCATTTGGTTGATTACACCATGTATCTGCAAAAAAAAAAAAAACTTTTAATTTGAGAAATCAAATGTCTGCTTAATTCCTGTACAGCCAGCCAGTGAAATATAATGCCTGACAACCATCTTAAAACAGCAATGGTTCTCAGGTGTCACCATGTCAGGTGGTATCACGTTATGTGAATGCAATGGGTTGCTTGTGAATGCAATTTCACAAGGGTGCTGAGATGGACATCAAACTGGCATAGCGGTTAAATCTGAGCTGTTAATCGACAGTGTGCTCTTACTTCACTCCAGGTTACTGCAGCGGGACTTTTCCTGTCATAAGTGTACTGGAAGGCACTTTGGATAAAACTGTCTGCTAAATTACTTGTTTCCTAACTACTGTTCAAATGTTTTATATTAATTAATACTTTTATTCAGCGATGTCACATTAAATGTATCAAAAGTTACAGCAAAGACTTCTACATTGTTACCAAAAAATTCTGTTTCAAGTAAATGCTGTTCTTTTGAACTTCATATTCTTTAAAACATAAATATTAGACCGCAAAAAGGTTTTTAACATTGATAATAATAAGAATTGTTTCTTGTGCTCCAAATCAGCATATCGGAACGATTTCTTTGGTGAACATAAATGAGCCCATTCAAAAACATTAAACATCTTACCCACCCCAAACTTTTGAACAGTAGTGTATATCTCAAAATTTTGCTGCAAACAACGGAGTAAACAACAAAAAATATTTTATATTAATACTCTGTTTTAATTCCTGGATCATTGATAAGGCCACGGGTTTCTGATGATTTAGAACTCAACTTTGACTGCAGTACTTAAGTTTTTTAAAGTAATTGCAAGAGGTTCTGATGACCCAGTGATTGTGTACTAGTAAGAACACTAACCTGTTCTTTCTAACTTTCTCCATGCTCCAGTTGACCAAACTGGTAAGTCTTGTCTCTACTCCACATGGCCTGTGCTTTAGGTCACCAGTTTAATTCCTTCCCCCCAATGAATGATGTTTAGTTTTTTAGACCCAACGTGTGGATTTCACTCTTCTCACTATGCCTTTGTTATGATAGTTTGTTTGAAAAAGGAGGATGAATCTTGTGGTTTTAGCCAGACACAAGCTCAAGCTTGTTCTTCAGTCATCTGAATATCATAACCAGATCTGGTTATCAAATCTGAATAATAAACTGACTGAATAAAGCATGATGTCCATCTTACTGATATGAATCTCTGTTTAGGTGCCCGTATTGAAGAGTTCTTCTATGAGAAATTAGACCGAAAGATCCCATCCAGAACCACCAATGCAGAGCTGCTGGGACAGTATATGCAGGATGCTGCAAAGGAATTTGGGCCAGGAACTCCATATGGTTCGTACAACCAACCAGAGGAAAATGAATATAACATAATATATTTAACCATTTCTCAGTTTTTTTTTAAATTATCATTTTGCCTGCATTAATGCCAACTGCATACATTTTGGCACAAGTGTGTAGTTTTATTGGAATTTTTTACTATTTCACCCCCATTTCCTTTAATAAACCTATTTTACACTAGGCACACAAAATAGTTACACTCAGGAACTTAAGAACAAAACTGTCCCATTGAAATGGCCATTTTTAATCTCAGGGCCATTTAACTGTAAAATGATGCAGTCTAGGCTAATAGGCATTTGCCTATAAAGCAAATGCTTGCTTTTTTCCTGTTTTCTGCTTCTGCATATTATAGAGCAAAAACAGTAAGTACATTGTAGTTAAAGACACCTAATATGAAGTGTGACCTTGAAAATTATCTGGTTTTTTTTTACCTACTAGAAGCCAGTACATATTAATTAATAAAAAAAAAAAAGATGTATTTATTTACTCAATTGCTTTGGGATGCTGTGCCTCATGCCTGACCTTGCCTACGGCACGATGTGAGTCAGGATCACTGCTGCCCAAGTTCTCATCTATTTTTTTTTCTTCCTGTTCTCCACTGTTTCACTTCTGACATGACAAAAAATGAATGTTTGATTCTTGACCAGTGATTGTTATATACTATGCTGCATTTTGAAGCAATCTAGCAATGCAAGTCTCCAAATCAAGTTAATGTTTTGCTGCAAGTTATGTGTCACTAGATGGCGCACTTGCCCTCTCTAAACAGAGGTTGTTGGCAAACAGTTTTCCACGGATGCTTTTAGGTTAGAATTTTCTTAGTGATCGTGTATATCTGTGTGTGATTCTGTAACCATTTTATATATAACTAGTTACAGATGTATTTTTTCTCTCAATTATTATTACGAAATCGTAACATTTGTTTAAAGGGGTGTAACGATACCCTCATGTCACGATTCGATACATATCACAATACCATATCGTAATAATCTCGCATTGTGAGTTCAGTAAGACGTGGTTAAAGGTTAACAAAAATGTACTGTTGATTAAAATACTAAATTTGGTATTTTATTTGCTGGTGGAAATGAATAGGCTTGGACTTGGTGCTGGTAATCCAATGCACAGGACAATGGGGACACCACAATAAAACTATTCATGATTCTCAAGCTGAATGTACAGAATTATTTTAGACTAATATGCTTGCACTCTGTCACTGACTAGACATAATTAAAATAACCACTTTTTACTGGTTATATAAGACATTTGGCATCATCAGGACCCACACATATTGCATTTTACATTATATATACTGTAGTAGTTTAGTTTAATGTAGTACTGAAACTAAAACTATGTAAACTTGCATTTTTTTCTCACATAGTAATTTTCATTTTGGGTGAACTATGCACAATAAAGGTTGCCACTATTCACAATACATAGTTGCATTTTTTTATTGCGATATATTGTGACACGGAATATTGTTACACCCCTAATAATTTAAAATAGTGATGCCTGTTAAATATTTAAATTAATATAATCATGTCACTGCAAGACATGTCAATTTTATAAAAAAAATAAAAAATAAATCAGGACCACTACCAAAATAAATCTGAATATAGAAACATGAGAAAACAAAAAATCGTTTCATTTACATTGAATCAGAGCATCTCTAAGTGGTCCATAGCTAAGTGGTTCATAAGTAATTTATTGAGTTTAGGACTGTGACTGAAGAATATTCATTAAGCTGAATGATGAAGATGCCTACATGCGTAACAACGTAAGATGAGTCAAAGATTGTTTTGTCTACATCTGATAATCTTATCACACAATGTTCAACTCCCATCGAAGTGAGTTAAAAATGTGCAAACCAAACAACTCGAAGCAATTTCCATGAAATGTTCTTGGTTAGATAAACAAGCTTGAAAATGATTTGACAGGAAACCATTGAAAATGTAATTGGAATCGTATGTGATGTTATGTTTTGTGATTGTTTACCAGGCAGTACTTTGATCACTGTTGGAGAGTTTCAGAAGAGGTTAGGTGGAGCAGAGCGGGAATTCTTACATACATCAGCCATCAATTTCCTCACACCTCTGAGGAACTTTCTAGAGGGTGACTGGAAAACGATATCTGTAAGTGAAATTCATAATCTTGGCATCAGATGGCTCACTTCCGTCTAGTATGTTGGCTAACATATATTGGCTGATAAAATCTGTTAGTTACAATCAGATTTTCCTTTGGACACTTATATCTGTAAAATAGTTCATAGGTACTGCTTTTGAATTAAAGAATATCCTGACTACAAAAGTTAAAATTTTACAGTACATTTTAGTACACAACTTTAAATGTAATATTGAATAACACACAACAGTTAAAATTATGATCAAATATCTTACATGTGCTTTAGCTGGTTTGTCAACCCATCAAAATAAAAGTACTTCTTTAAAGCCTGACAAAAGATTATTTGATTTAAAGTGTACTTTAAAGTAAAACACGTTAACCTCATTTGAACAGAGGTCTGAACTTAAATGGTTGTAATTCATGAATGCTTTGGAATACAGACCTAAGGTTGGTCTTTTTTTAAAGAAGACACTCAGCAGATTAGTACAGAAGTGAAAGCACTTAACATGAAAGTGTAAAATCATAGATGTTTCAGTTTACTGTTAGTAAATGTGCTGAACTAAACATTTCTTATTTTATACAAAATCTATATTTGACAAAATAATTGCTAAAAAATTAAAGCCATATGTCTAACCAAGTTGTGTTCCAAATTTAAAGTTGATATCACAAAAATTGATCCCACTAAAAGGTTTTTTAGTATGCTAAAATTTTGACATTGACAGTTAACAGACTAAATGTGTTAAGAAATAATCATGAAATTGTACTCCCTTTAAGTACACTTAAGTTCCCTTTTATTTTATTAATATTGTCTGCATGGAATTTAAAAAAAAAAAAAATTTACTTTTATGATGCGAAGTACAATACAAATACACATTCGATACAGTTAAGCACACGTTCTTTTTCTCAAAGGTCTGTATGTTTTGTTTTCAGAAAGAGAGAAGACTGCTTGAGAACCGGCGCCTTGACCTAGATGTTTGCAAAGCTCGACTCAAGAAAGCAAAGTCAGCAGAGGCCAAGGCTGCTGTAAGGTTTATTTACACTTATTCAATCATCATCACATACCTCATGTTTTTTTTTTATAGCCCCTACCACCCACTTATCATGAAGCACTTATGAGCTGTCAATATAGGATTACGATCTCTCAAGGGACAATTCAGGAAGTATGCCATGAATAATCAAGAATATTCATTCTAGCCCACAGCCCAAATATAGCCCATCATGAGGTTATCAGTGACGACTGTAAGTGCAACGTCTAAATGTGATCGAACAATGTGACCAAACACTGAAAGTTGGAAGAAAAGAAAAAACCCCAGACAGTTAAAGGCACACAATGTAAAATTTTTGGATCAAAATATCCAAAAACCACTAGAACAATGTTATATATTTTGTTGATTTGTGTACTTTCATTATCCCAAATGTTTCTAAGAATGTGTAAATCCAGAGAAATAAGCAGTTTTAACCAGGACACAAACCATGTCCGTGCGTCACTTATCAATGACATCATACCCGCGTTAACCTTGATTTACAGTTTTATTTTGTAGAAACCATGGAAACACCAAAGTCGCTTTAATATATTATGTTTTATTAGACAGGTGAGCAACTATTTGGATACATTCATCAACAGAAAACGAATCATTGTTATACAGATTCTCTTTCTTTTTTCTATCGCGAGTACCATATTTACCATGTCTAATATCGATCTTGCTCACTCCAGTGTTACTTGCTCTTGCTCACTCCAATTATATAGTAACCGCCGAGTGAACGCACAGAGTAGCATTATAACAACTTTCAAGACACTCAAATGTATCTAATATGATAAAACAGCGCTGCGTTTCCCCACATACGCATGACCGGAAGAAGCGAAAGCGGTCTGCGGCATAAAAGCTCCACTGCTCTCGAGCTGTGTGTTGTGCTTGTCTCCCATTAGCAATCGCTCAAGCGGCCTCGTTCCCCTCAACGGCTTTCGTAACGTTAATAAATCTTTAATACATTACTGGTCATCCATGAATATTATTTCTGCCCGAGTCCCATACCTGTCAACACTCCCGTTTTTCCCGGGGTTCTCCCGTTTTTTTAGCCCTATCTCCCGGACCCCTCCCGGTTTGTTATTTCTCCCGGGAAACTCCCGTAATTTGCATGGCCCAAACTCCTTTATGAATAATCGGACCAATATGTTTGTCTAATGTTGACCAGTTGCCAGATCTTGTATTAAATGCATTATATTCACACAATCCACACATCATATACAATTTCAACCCGTTTGTCATCTCAACCTGGCAACCCAGACCCCGAAAGCGAGCGTGGTACAACGTGGCAAACAATTACCTCTAGTGGCAAAAAATTACATAGTGTGCCTTTAACCACCACATGGACTGATTCCTATTAATCTGTTAACATAGTGGAAGCGTTTTCGAATTCATTTATGTGTACAGTAAATAAGATTTACATGTTTAAATTCACCTTGACTAAATAATTCTGGAAAATAACATATATTGGTTACAGCAAATTTTAAAGCCAAACAATTATCAATAGCACTTTACAATAATGTCTCATTTGTTAACATTAGTTAATGCATTATACAACATGAACTAACAATGAGCCATTCATTTTTTACAGCATGTATTAATTTTTGTAAAGGTTAATAAAATGCAATCGTTCATGTTAGTTCACAGTGCACCAACTACTGTCAGATACAGGTAGATTTAGATTTCTAAAGTGCACAGTATTAGTAAATGCAATTTTTTTTTTAAAGATTAATAATACATTTAAAAGAATTAATCATTAGTTAACAATTGTTAGTTAATGCAGTTAACTAATGTTAACAAATTAACTCTTATTATTACTGTTACTATAGGTCATTTTATTCATTAGCCCCTGGTCACCACATATTTTTAAAAAGTGGCCCCTGAGCTCTGTAATTAGAGTCAACCTGTGGTAAAAGTGGTGCTTCTGGTTTATTCTGTTTACCTCATTAAAAAAGGGTAATTTACAGGGTCAAGATATTCCTTGAGTCTAGCATTATATGGAAACATTATTATTGAATGACCCTTTCATATGTTCTTCTTTCAGTTATATGTTTGCTTTTTCTTTGCTTTTTTTGACTTTCACTGAAAGTAACTTACTCTGAGGGATGAGTCACCTGCTTTGAGTCATGGTTTCACTGTTTCCTTTCCTACATAGATACTGTTTGCTAATATACACATTTAGGATGGGATTTCCCTCTTGATACAACATTTTATTGGGGTTATCTAAGGTCAGGACCGGACCGGACTAGACTATGATTACCTCAATAAATCTATATAAAACCTCTACCTCTATAAAGGACCCTGGTTGTTTGTTCCTTTTGTGTGTGTAAGGGAATACAATTATGAATCAGTCATCAGGGTTTTTTTTACTTTCCAATGGCCACATTCATTTGATTGTGTGCTCTGTGCCGGATCTTTTCCTTTCCATGTATTCACTAACACGTCTCTCTGTTGTCATTTGCACAGTGTGAGGGAGATGTGAGTATCCGAGTTTGTGTGTGTTTTCTCAACTGCCTTTCATCCTTGGCTGGCTCATGCAAGCAGTTACTTAGTTAGGACAACTTTGATGAACCTTTTTGAACCACTTCAAATGTTGACTACTGTATATACACTTGTAACCTTTCAAAAGTTAGTCCATGAAAAGGATACAAATAAAATTAATCTATGATTTTAAAAAAAGTGTGTATATATATATATATATATATATATATAGTCCGTCCCAGTCCTGTGACCTGAACCCTATAGAAAATGAGTGGGGTAAACTGAAGAGAAGAAGCACCAACAAGACTCAACTTAATAGTTGAGTCTTGGGGTCAACCTTTTAATGCCCAGGTAGTTCCAAGTCAGTTTTATCACCGTTCTATATTATTAAGCTGTTTTCATTGAAGTGCACATACACATACGTCACTTGCACACAGTGTGCTGCGCCTGAGCACACACACACACACACACACACACACGCACGCACGCACACACACACACAAACATTTAGGAGCACAGAAACTTATCAACTTATTAATAGAGAGAGAGAAGCTGAACAGACGCTGGTACGAATCTCTCTCTCTCTCTCTCTCTCTCTCTCTCTTTTGATAATTTATTCAAATAAATGCTATAATTCATTCATTCAAATAAATGTAATCTTATGCACTACTTTATCTGTGTGCCTGATTCAGAGCGGACAGAATGCTAGATCTAACAAGCCGTAACTGATGAAAATAACTGTAAAATGTACCCTTCGCTCAAATATTGCGCTGCAAACATCAGTAACAGTTTTAAAGGGGAACTTGGCAACTATTTCAACTTAATAAAACCGTTTAGAAATCATTTGGATGGTTAAAGCGATAGTTCACTTCAAAATGAAAATTCTGTCATCATTTACTCACCCTCAAATTGTTTCAAAACTCTATGAATTCCTTCCTTTTGTCAAACACAAAGGAAGATATTTTGAAGAATGTCAGTAACCAAACAGTTAACTGGACCCATTGACTTCCTTAGTATTTTTTTTAGAAGTCTACAATGGAAGTCAATGGGTCCAGTTAACTGTTTGGTTACTGACATTCTTCAAAATATCTTCCTTTGTGTTTCTATTGATTTGTATTGGTGAGCATTATGCTGTAAATTACTTTGTTGAATGATACATTTATGAAAAGTATGTATCATTGTATCATTCAACAAGTAAGTATTGTGCTCAGCAAACTAATAGATGATGATTCATGCCACAGAGGTCAAAATAGACAAGATTGTTTATATTGTTCAATACCATATAATGTTTACTAGAGCTTGTCAAGGCATATGGAGACCAGAGCATTGTGCTCTTCATGATACACAGCAGTGCAAAGGTTACAAAGGAAAAACTGCTTTTGTAGTCTTCGTCACCATTATTGTTTACAATACAAATTACAATTATTACTATTTATGGGAAGTAATGTGTTGGATACTTAAACATTGAAGCACTGAAACAAAATTATGAGTAAAAAGCTCTGAAAACAGATTGAGTAACAATAACGAAATACAAATAAATCGTCACGCTTTATATTTTATTTTATCGGGGTGAAGTGATAAAAAAAATCTGCAGCTGCCCTCCTAATTTCAGTGTTTTTGTGTGTGGCAGAGGTTATAGGCTGGTTTGTCGTGTGTGTGTGTTTTTTTGTTTTTTTTTACTTTAATTTGAAAATAGTGTTGTTTGCTGGGTTAGTTCATGTGGACGCATGATTCTCTGTAAAACTCTGTTTTCCCCCCTCCACCTGTAGGCTGCGCCTGACTTTCAAGAGACTAGGCCACGCAATTATGTTCTGTCCGCCAGTGCATCTGCGGTAAGAAGGCTGTAGACCCTTAGCATTAGAAGTCCCCCCCCACACACACACTCTCTCTGTTTCTTTCTCTCTCTTTCTACATGACCCTTATTTGTATATATTTCCCCACTGATATTTGCACCAAACCTTTTAAATTTAGATTAGCAGGATGTCCTCTAACAGTCTGTTCTTTAATGTGGGTGGTATAACACTGTACTGTTGTTTTGGATGAAAAGCATTAGCTAAAGCAATAAATTAATGAATAAATAAGTCTCCCTGATTACACCTAACAGCTTTGAGCTTTCCATCGTCCCATCATCTCTTACTTTTTCATTCCACGCAGTGGGATAGTGAAGTTGGTGATTCATATCTGAGTGACAGAGAAAAGGTTGTATGAACTTGAATCTGAAGTGAAGCCTTAAGTTAAACCCCTCTTAGAGTAGTGTACTTCGAGACATGCAATAGTTATTGTGTGTCTCGTCAGCAGCTTAGTGATTGTAGCATCTCCTTATTCAAGACTTGTCAAATATGTTAACCCATTGTATAAAAACTAGTCCTGCTTTTTTCTCAGTCAGTGTTGTGCGTTTACCCCAGTAACATTGTCTTATTTACGTCTCCCGTCTTAAAGTGTTGTGTGTCTGTGTGCCTTTCCCTGTGTGACTGATTAATGTTTTGGCAACAGGAGATGCAATACATGTGTATTCAGTTGATTAGCCCTAGTAATACATAATAGTGGGTTGTAGTTTGTGTGTGTCCTTTTATATATATTCTATACATTACAGCTCAAAAGTTTGGACACAGCTACTCACTCTTTACAAATATTCTTAAATGTGAGAAGCCCCCCCCCCCCCAAAAAAAACACAAAAACAATAAAAGAAATTTGTGTGCATTTTAGCAGGGCAGGTAAAAATCAGAACTGACCCTGGGCCAGTAGAAAAAACCCTTAGCGTTGAGTCCTGAATTATTAAAGGGACAGCTAAATGTGTCATTTATTACAATGGGTTTATGTGAAGATTGTTTTAAGTTCAGTTAAAAGTCTTTTTTTTTTTTAAAGCTAACTAAATGTTAAAAATTATAGCTTTTAATTAAACTGTAATGTTGAATGGCTATAACTAATGGACAAAATTGAAGAAAAAAATATTAAATATTAAAAATGTTTATTTTTAATCGATTGACAGCACTAATATATATATATATATACGGTATATATTAGGGCTGTCAAATGATTAATCACGATTAATCACATCCAAAATAAAAGTTTTTTTTACATAATATATGTGGGTGCACTGTGTATAATTATTTTGTATATATATAAATACACACACATGCATGTATATTTAAGAAAAAAATATTATTTATATATAACATATTTATATTTATATATAATATAAATTATATATAAATCTATAAACAGTATATACATGAAAATATTTCTTAAATATATACAAGCATGTGTGTGTATTTATATATATAAAATAATTATACACAGTGCACCCACATATATTATGTAAAAAAAAACTTTTATTTTGGATGTGATTAATCACGATTAATCATTTGACAGCCCTAATATATATATATATATATATATATATATATATACACACACACACACACACACACAAATATATTTTGGGTTTTGTTTCAATAAGTATTTAAGAAGCAAATTTAGCTTCAAGCATGTCCAAACTTTTGACTGGTCCTATAATATAGTTTCCATTTGTTGTTTTTTTAAAAGTCATACTGATGTCATGTTATTGCAAAAGTCAAACCATGAAAATCCCCTGCGATGAACATTTGCAGTGGAATGTGGGGGAAAAATACCTTGCTTTTATTCGTTCACTTTTATTTAAAAAATGTCTGATTACATTAGACTGTCTCTTTTTTGATGTTACTTCAATTTAACCTATGCATTTTAGTCAGTATTTTTTTCCCAGTGGGTCTATATTTGTAAAGTTATGTTGTCATCACTGTTCTTCTCTTGTTGTTATGCTGCATGTTCCAGCTCTGGAGTGAGGAAGTTGATAAAGTGAGTATTGGGCATCTGAAGATTGTCTGTTTTAAGACATGTCTTTGTTCACTTTAGTTCTCAGTGAGCAATAAATCACTGCATATTAATTTATGTAATAAATGTTAATATATGTGTATAATGATAGTCTTGTGCATATATTTCCATCTGTACACAAATCTATACATCTGTCAGTCTTTAAGAAGAAAATTAGATTTTCTTATAATCAATAATGATTTAAGACTTTGCTGAATATATATAGATATATAAGATATATAGAAATATAAAGCAGTAGCAATAATAATGTGCTCTGTAAAAATGTTAAGAAGAGTAAAAAAAAACGGTCAAGGCAACATGATTATGATTTATGATTATGAGTGGATACATTTGTATTTGTTATGCTACCTTTTGCCAAAAGAGACATTTTTCTTAGAGCAGAATTCAGCTACCCCCCCTCTCCCCTCTAAAATAGTGCTTGGTTGGCAAAAATGTTGCTTTTTTATCATTTCATCTTTATTGTAAATGGGATTTTAGAATATTTACAATTGACATTACATGGACATAGAAATTACATTTTTCGCCTGACCATCTAAACAAAGCTCATTTGCTATAAACAATTCAATTTTCTACTAGGTGCATGTTTCATGTTATTCCTAATTGCATTACAATCACCAACAACTCATGAATGGTGTTAAGTGAGGGAGTGGCGAGCGGTTAGAGCACATGACGAGCAGATGTTGAGCCATGCGTGTCATGTGAGAGATGTGGGTTGTAGTTAAGAAGTGTGCCCTGTGTTGTGTGCTCATTCTGTTTCCCCTCTGTCTCCCTATGATTTCCTGTCCTTTCAAAAATGGCAAAAAAAAACCAAAATAATATTTTTAAAGATTCATGAGAAGATTAAATGATGTCAAATCAAAAGTGATATTGTTGCTGAGTACTTTTTTTTCTATAAAACAAGAAAGAAAGAAAGACTGAACAAGATGTTAGTTGTCTGGACAGGAAGAACTTGTTTATTGGCTAAAAGAAACAATTAAAAAACAAAATCCAAGTTGGCTAGACAGAGTTGCTGATGTAAGTGGATAATGTATCCTGTGATCTTTCCTTTTTATGTTTGTCTGTGTGTGTTTGTGGCTCCACCAGGCAGAGCATGAGCTGCGTGTGGCTCAGACTGAGTTTGACAGGCAGGCAGAGGTGACACGCCTCCTGCTGGAGGGCATCAGCAGCACACATGTGAGTATCTGCGCTTCTCACACTCACACTACTGGTCATTTTAAACATTGCGCAAACAGAATAAATTGCAATGGCAGTGTTAGTTAGTTAGGCAATCGAGAGAGCAGAACTATCCACCATACAGTCACACTTTATCCATACAACACAAAACATAACATTTCCAAATGGCATACATCAGTCATTTTACAATTCTAATATTAGACTGTATCTACAGTACACCTAAGATATGTAAGGGATATTGTACATCCAGTCGGTTGTTCTCTCAAAATAAAACCCCGACAGGGTGATGAGAACCCCGACATTTAAGAGATGCGTTATACAGTCATGCCACTTATTACACAGCATTTCGCCACATAAATACTAATGGAGATAAGAGATAATGATTTCAAATGAAACTGTTTTAAAATCATACCTGTTTGTATCTCATAATCCAACAGTGTACAAAACAATAGTCACAAAATGGCAGCAGCTGCGTTTGTATGAAACAAGAAAGAGCGAGTTCACGATACTGGATGGCATAATTAAATAACTGTACATAAAATATTTTTAAAAATATATAAGCTTTAATATTTTATTAGCTCACCAAATGCAAAACGTCCACGAAGAAAAAAAACGTTTCTAGCAAGCGTATAGCGCTGCTGACTTCAGTAACCCGGATGAGCCGGATTAAGGCTCTGCTTTTTTACAGACCTCTCAAAAATCTCCTGAAGAGAAGATCTAACCACTTTTTGAAGTTGTGACCTAATTTTAATGGACAAGTTGCCAAACCTTTACAATAGTTTACAATACCTTAGGTCTTTAATTAATACTTTTATTCAGCAAGAATGCATTAAATTGATCAAAAGTGACAGTGAAGACAAAATGTTACTAAAGATTTCTTCCAAATAGTGCTGTTCTTTTGAACTTTACATTCATCCAAAAATACTGGAAAAAAATGTATCAGAGTCTCCACAAAAATATTAAGCACAGCTATTTTGAACATTGATAATAATACATTTTTCTTGAGCACCAAATCAGAATTTCATTTAATATAATTAATTTTAATTACATTTTAAAATATATTCAAATAGTAAATGGTTATTTTAAATTGTAATATTACATTTTTTAACTGTATTTTTGATCAAATAATTCCAGCCTTGGTGAGCGTAAGAGAAAAACATTTAAAAAATCTTACCCCAAACATTTAAAGGGATTCTATGCAGTTTTTTTAGCTTAACTGAACAGCTTCAGAGTTATTGAAATGGTTATATGACTCCTTTCGGGTTGAATGGTGGCCGTCTCGCCCCCCCCTGGTGCCTGTGAGTGGAAAAATCTCACTTGCAACTTTGGTGCGGCGGGCCGCCGGCCTCAGCATCAGGAAGTATCGCGTGATATCAGCTCTTGCGATGTAACATATTCCTTTACGGCACTGGCACTGCACACATACACACCCCCATCCAGGAACAATGTAGAGAGGGATGGAGTTTGTCTCACTATCGTCATGGCTGAGCCGGCATATAAGATGCAGAAAGCTAGGAAAGCATTGTCGGAGGAACAGAGAAAGAGGAAACGGCAGACTGACCGAGCGAGGAGTCAGACACGAGCATAGGTGTAATTTGCGGGTGTGAAATGTCCCCATTGAAAAATCTCGCGGCACGGATGTACCAATACAAACAAATAAAACATCTCCAGTTAACTCTAGTAGAGCATTCATTTCGTTCGTTTGTTAAATAAGAGGCGATCTGAAATGTGTTGTTTTTGAAATCAAGTGACCAATGTGCTTGCCGCTCATAGACTGTTGCCGCTGCGATCAGTGGCGTGGATACAGTGTTCTGTTGTGACGCGCATAGTCTTCACACGGACGCGCGCCTCAATCCGTTGCAGGAACTGAGAGACTCTCTATATTTGTTACGGTGAAATCACAAAACCTAATGCACAAAAAACTTGTCCCTGCTTGATATACAATCACTAATAAACAATCGGTTTTGATGAGGAAAATAAACTATACTACTAGTACGGATTAGAACCCAGAACCTCTGACACACTTGGCAAAAGTTCTGCCACTGGACCATTAACGTTCATGGGGATAATTGTCGGATGTATGTATTTAATCACATGAAAATTCTCACCACTAACAACATACACTCACCGGCCACTTTATTAGGTACCCCATGCTAGTAACGGGTTGGACCCCCTTTTGCCTTCAGAACTGCCTCAATTCTTCGTGGCATAGATTCAACAAGGTGCTGGAAGCATTCCTCAGGGAGTTTGGTACATATTGACATGATGGCATCACACAGTTGCCGCAGATTTGTCGGCTGCACATCCATGATGCAAATCTCCCGTTCCACCACATCCCAAAGATGCTCTATTGGGTTGAGATCTGGTGACTGTGGAGGCCATTTTAGTACAGTGAACTCATTGTCATGTTCAAGAAACCAATTTGAAATGATTAGAGCTTTGTGACATGGTGGAAGTAGCCATCAGAGGATGGGTACATGGTGGCCATAAAGGGATGGACATGGTCAGAAACAATGCTCAGGTAGGCCGTGGCATTTAAACGATGCCCAATTGGCACTAAGGGGCCTAAAGTGTGCCAGGAAAACATCCCCCACACCATTACACCACCACCACCAGCCTGCACAGTGGTAACAAGGCATGATGGTTCCATGTTCTCATTCTGTTTACGGCAAATTCTGACTCTAACATCTGAATGTCTCAACAGAAATCGAGACTCATCAGACCAGGCAACATTTTTCCAGTCTTCAACTGTTCAATTTTGGTGAGCTCTTGCAAATTGTAGCCTCTTTTTCCTATTTGTAGTGGAGATGAGTGGTACCCGGTGGAGTCTTCTGCTGTTGTAGCCCATCCGCCTCAAGGTTGTGCGTGTTGTGGCTTCACAAATGCTTTGCTGCATACCTCGGTTGTAACGAGTGGTTATTTCAGTCACTGTTGCCCTTCTATCAGCTCGAACCAGTCTGGCCATTCTCCTCTGACCTCTGGCATCAACAAGGCATTTCCGCCCACAGAACTGCCGCTCACTGGATGTTTTTTCTTTTTCGGACCATTCTCTGTAAACCCTAGAGATGGTTGTGCGTGAAAATCCCAGTAGATTAGCAGTTTCTGAAATACTCAGACCAGCCCTTCTGGCACCAACAATCATGCCACGTTCAAAGTCACTCAAATCAACTTTCTTCCCCATACTGATGCTCGGTTTGAACTGCAGGAGATTGTCTTGACCATGTCTACATGCCTAAATGCACTGAGTTGCCGCCATGTGATTGGCTGCTTAGAAATTAAGTGTTAACGAGCAGTTGGACAGGTGTACCTAATAAAGTGGCCGGTGAGTGTATATTAGATCTCATTAAATGACAAATTAAACACAATGTACTATTGTATACTATGTAACACGTCACAACACAATTTACGACATTAACGTTAAATACAAGTTCTCCACAGCGACTCTAGGGGTCACTGTTTGACAAAAACGGGATATGACTATTTCCAAGGGGGTAATCCATCGACCGGAAGTTGAAGCCGGCCGGGTGCCGCCATGTTGTAGCAGAACCTCACTTGCGTTAGCATTTCCATTGACTCCCATTCATTTTGGCGTCACTTTGACAGCGAATAACTTTACATCTGAGGCGTTTAAAGACTCCATTTGTCCATTATTTATTTCTAAAGAAACACGACAATGTATAAAGGGCTCCATTACCTTCTATGTTACATTATGGCCCCGTAGAAACAGTTTTAGTAAAAATAGGCTAACGATTGCGTCATAACCACTCGACTCTCTGTCGCGCTGTACAGAAATTACCGTACAGACAGGAGGAGAAGCTCGCAGGCAATCGGGGGGACGTCCCGTCAAGGGAGAAGCCCATAGATAATGAGTCCATAAAGGCAACGGAATACTTACTCCTGCTCACTCACGCCAAAGAACTCTTTGCTCAAGTTCCCCGTCTCTGCAAGATTAACGTTGGCAATTTTCACGCACAGCTACTAGAAGATTTGCGTCTGTCAGACAGGTTGCTCACGTCATCAAGCTTAGTTTGAGTCGGTTAGAGTCTGCGCGTCAGGAACGGAAGTGCTCAGAAATCGCTAAAAATGGGCTTCAACTGTCTCAACTGAGTTCCAATGAGATGGCTCTGTCCATTTCTTATACTGTCTATGACTATTTCAAATACATTTTCTATTGCAGGTTAACCACTTGCGTTGTCTGCATGAATTTGTGGAGGCACAGGCTGCTTATTACATACAGTGTCACAAGCACATGCAGGACCTTCAGAAAGAGCTGAGCAGGTGAGAACTTCACTGCAAACTGCAAACAACAAACAAACAGTTTGGTAATTTACTTTAGTTCACATTAGTCTATTCTTGATATGGATAGATGTGACGAACCCAAGTATTAGTAACACAGGGTTTATCCCACACATTCCCTTTTTAGCAACTGGTTTCTAATAAAGAAAATCACAAGACTTCTTGAAATCAACTCTTTTTTCTGCTTGTTCTTGTCTCTGTTCTCAGTGCAAACGGAGATACGTGAGTAATTTCTTTTTTCCTCACTCTGAAAAAGGAAGAGTGTTTACAGACTAAATTTAAAGGGATAGTTAATTCAAAAGTTTTAAAATTCTGTCATTTACTCACCCTCATGTCATTCCAAACCCATAAGACTGTTGTAAAATCTGTATTTACCATATGTGATGCACTCTATGTATGTGTGTTTATATGTGAATAAGGGCCTAAATAAAATCTGTCTGATTTTGAATCTGTGCTTCCAGGTTTCCTAATGCTTTTGCTGTGAATGCCTCCACATCAGGGGTGTCGACAGGCCCTTCTCCCCTTTCCATTGCAACTCTACCTGGGCCTTCTTCACCTAGTCGTCCCCCAAACCCCTCCAATGCCCTTGAGTCCAGCACCCTGAAGATTGAGGAGGTGAAGCCTCCCGCCACTGGCACTCGCAAGGCCAAAGTGCTGTATGACTATGATGCTGCAGATACAAGTGAACTTTCCCTTCTCTCTGATGAGGTAGGGCATGATCGAAATCGGTTTTCCCTCCTTAACAGTCAATAACATTCATTATATGTGACCCTGGATCACAAAACCAGTCACAAGTAGCATGGGTATATTTGTGGCAATAGCCAACAATACATTGTATGGGTCATTGTACGATTTTTCTTTTATGCCAAAAATCATTAGAATATTAAGTAAAGATCATGTTCCATGAAGATATTTGGTAAATTTCCTACCATAAATATATAAAACATTTATTTTTGTAAATGAATGCAGCACAATCACGAACATAAATGGACAACTTTAAAGGCGATTTTCTCAATGTTTTGATTTTTTTTGCACCCTCAGATTCCAGATTTTCAAATAGTTGTATCTCGGCCAAATATTGTCCTATCCTAACAAACCATACATCAATGGAAAGCAATTGAAAGCAAAAAATGTACCCATGTGACTGGTTTTGTGGTCCAGGGTCACATATAAGTATGAGTGATTTTTAGTAAGAATTTGTTTTAATGGAATCTGTGTAGCCATTTAATTTTGAATAAATTTAAATATTAATAAATAATTATACATAATATAAGTAATTATATACATTTTATTTGTGTAGCTATTTAATTTTAAATAAATACAAATATTAATAAATAATTATATGTAATATAAATAATATAAATTGTATTATAATTATTTATAATTTAATTATTATAAAATAAATTATACAAATGTATTTTATTTTCTAACCCTACTATTGTTTGTATAAATTACTTTCTTTTTTAGCTCTCTACATTGTTACTTTGTGATTTTTTTTTTTTTGTTTTTTTTTTTTGCCTACTGTGGTCAATTTAAAAGTGAGTTTGTTTACAGTCCCTGTGACATTGCCTTGTGTTTAAAGAATTGGGCTGGTTAAAAATGATTTCAAACTTATCATAATTTAACGAAAAATGCTACGGTAAACACCTGTTAATTGGTTAACAGTAAGTTCCCTTTTGATACGCTTCACTCAAAGCCTGATTGAACCACGTCTACGCACTTGCACAGACAAATGGCATTTCAGCTTGCCAAAACAGGTAGTGCCACCTGCCTATACAAGTACGGCGCTGAATGCCATATCGTCTAAATCTTTCTCCTTCAGCGCAAAGATCATCTCCTCGCCGACTCGCCGAACCTGTAGCCCATGGCGCTCAAGTCTCTCATCACCCAAAGCCAGGATTTGGAAGCCGTTCTGGGTGTGTCAGAATATGTCTTGGAAATGATCAAACAAGGTTACTTGCTCCAATTCGCTCGTAGATCCCACCTCCAACCCTTTCGAGGGCGTGGTCCAAACTTTGATTTGGGGTAACAATGATTGTATTTTTCAGAAATAGTTCTGGCGGCCCTCAGCTAGTCAGGGTTTTACAGCCACTAGTTCTTCGTTCCACCGAAGGATGGTGGCCTTAGGCCCATCCTCGATCGGAGGCATCTGTATCGTGCCCTGATAAGACGGCCATTCAGGATGCTAATCCTGAAACAAATCTTCTCGCAAGTTTGCCCAGGGGATTGGTTTTTATCAGTGCTGAAAGATGCATACTTTCATATTCAGATAGCCCCCCACACCTTCTATCACAGACCATTCTTAAGATTCACATTCAAAGGGGTGTCAGAAGAATCGGGGAGGACAGATGCTGGGTCCTGCTAGTGGGTCACAGTCCGGAACGAAGATCCTTTATCCTGTGACGTTGTGTCAATCTTGTCCTTCCTTCAAGAGCTGCTGGATGCGGGGCGCACCCCATCCACACTCGCACGCCCCCATAGCCGGACAGTCAGTGGGTAGGAATGACTTGATAGTGAGGTTCCTAAAGGGGGCCAGAAGGCTGCCCTACTGCTGGCTTTAGCATCAGTCAAGCGAGTAGGTGACCTGCCATGAGTTTGGTTGTCCTGCAAGGTTGTCCTCAAGCCAAGGGATGATTATGTACCTAAGGTGCTCTCCACTCCGTTCAGAGCACAGGTCATTACTCTGCTATCCCCATTTCCGAGGATGATAATTACTCTGCCCGGTCTGGCCATTTCCAGCAATCAGAGCAGCTTTTTGTGTGCTTCGGAGGCCAAACTAAGGGGCTGCTAGTTACGAAGCAAAGACTATCCCGTCGGATAGTAGATGCGATAGCGCTGGCTTACGCCTCCTTGTGTTTACAATGCCCCATTGGAGTGAGAGCCCACTCCACCATGGGGAATGGATTCCTCCTGGGCATGATCTTGCTGAGTGTCCATCGGTGACATCTGCACGACGGCTGGTCTTGGGCGTTCCTGACCTTCAGGCACGGATCCTATCCACTTAAACCAGTTTAGGACCTCCGTGGGGTCTAGTCTGCTTAGGGCATTATCCCCCATGGTGGGCATGCCCCAAGGGCTTCTGCCTCGTGGTCTGAGCCTAACTATCTTGGACGAATTCTTGCCTCACCCTGGGTATTTTCCAGGGTGGCCCATGGATAGCCATTTAAGGGCGCTTGACCTTGAAGGACTAGGCTTGCAGGATGGGCTTCCAATCTGCATTTGTAGCACTGCGCAAATGGATTGTGTTCCCCTTAGCGTCATCAACTGACGCAGTGCAAGTGAACACTATGGAAAGGGAATGTCTCGGTTACTCAAGTAACCTCGGTTCCCTGAGATGACGGGAACGAGCATTGTGTAGCTGGCTGTGCTCCTTGCACTTGCACCTGAGTCGATGCTTGCTGCATTCAGCGCTGACGAAATGGCATTCAGTTCTGACTTTTATAGGTAGGTGGTGCCGCTCGTTTTGGTTGGCTGAAATGCCATTTGGCTGTGCGAGCGCATAGCAGCTGACACGATGCTTGTTCCCGTTATCTCAGGGAACCTAGGTTTCGTGAGTAACTCTATACAGTGATATTTACATTTATTCATTTTGCAGACACTTTTATCCAAAGCAACTTAAAAATTAGGAATACAGTGAGCGATTCATTGTGAAGATACATTGTTCAAGTTTTAGACATTGCTTAAGAGTAGCATAAGCTAGAGTAGGGAGGGATTAAAGGAAAGTGAAGGCATAGATTTTTTTTTTATGATGAGGTGATGTGCTCACAAAAGAGATGAGTTTTCAGCTATCTTTTGAATGTTGTCAGGGATTCTGCATTCCGGATGAAGGTGGGGAGATCATTCCACCAGCAAGAAACAGTGAACGAAAATGTTCTGGACAGTGATTCTGTGCCTCTCTGCGATGGTACCGATCGTAGGCTTCTGGTAGGGATGTAGACTCGTAAGAACGAATGGAAGTAGGAGGGTGCTGAGCCTGTGGTAGATCTGTAAGCAAGCGTCAATGCCTTGAACTTGATGCGAGCAGCAAGTGCAAGAGAGATAAAGAGAGGTGTGATATGGGCACTTTTGGGATCGTTTAAGACAAGACGTGCTGCAGTGTTCTGAATCATTTGTAGAGGTTTGATTGCACATGATGGAGGTCCAGCCAAAAGAGCATTGCAGTAATCAAGCCTAGAAATGACCAGGGCTATATTGATATTTCTCGTATGGTTTAATTTGACAGTTTTTGGAAGTGAAAAACAATCAGGCATCTCATAATTTACAGTAAAAAAAAAAAAAAACATAAATTGACATTCCCTGTTTTTTTAATGGTTCTTTATTATAAAGGTAAAATACCTTTTAGTACTTTAGTAGGTTGGTATTTTTTACGGTGAAGTTCTGGCAACCTCTTTACCGACAATTTCACAGATTTCTTTTTCTTTTTCCTTTCTTTTTTTACAGTGTAAAGGTTGTAATTTTGAACCCTGTCAGGAATTATCAATCTCTATTGTTCCCTCGTGTAAGGCTGCCAGACAGTTTCATATGATTCAGCCTCACTGATCCACCTGAACCTGCCTGGCATGTACGACTATGAAACTCAATCCTCAAAAGACATCAAAGGGGTGTTTGCAAATGTTATTTGTTTACACACGTCTGAATGCTTCGGGAGGACTGTGGCCAGTGTTGTGCCTGATCACGTTCATTGAACGATCATATTTTGGGTGAACGTGAACTGAACGTACTGTATTACTGCCTGATGAACGTTACTGTGAACTCGTTCATTCTGGTGTCTGTGAATGCACGCTCTCTCAGTTTAACTTAGTTCAATAGGCTGCCAGATTTCTATAGAGCTTTCCAGGCGAAAACCCGGCTAAAACACACCGTAAACAGACCTTAAAGGGTTAGTTCACCCAAAAATGAAAATTATGTCATTAATGACTCGCCCTCATGTCGTTCCAAGCCTGTAAGACCTCCGTTCATCTTCGGAACACAGTTTAAGATATTTTAGATTTAGTCCGAGAGCTTTCTGTCCCTCCATTGAAAATGTATGTACGGTATACTGTCCTTGTCCAGAAAGGAAATAAAGACGTCATCAAAGTAGTCCATGTGACATCAGTGGGTTAGTTAGAATGTTTTGAACAGTGATGGGAATAACGGCGTTATAAATAACGCCGTTACTAACGGCATTACTTTTTCCAGTAACGAGTAATCTAATTGATTACTCTTCTCATCTTAACGCCGTTCCCGTTACTGCCAAAAAATGCGGCGCGTTACTATAACTGATGAAGCTGGGTTTTTTTTTCATCAGACCAACTAGATCTCTGAGCGAGAGGCAAATACTTTTTTTACTGTTCTTCCTTGGTTAGTGGGCAGAGCACGAGACAAGCGCATAAATGCTGACGACTGAGGTAGAGTAAAATGTAATTGTAAGCCAATCAGAGGTAGAGTTGGGCAGGTGTTCGAAAGCACGCATAGATAGTAGTAGGCATTCGGCACTTTTGACTCAGCTCACTGAAAAGAGCCGGCTCTTTTGGCTCACAAACGGCTCTTTAAATGACTTTGACTATAATATTTTAATTTTTTTTTACATAATTATTTAATTTCTATAGGCTAAATTTGTACAAATAGAGTCGGCTCTTCAGATATGCGAGCCAGCTCCCGACGTTCACCTAAAAGAGCCGGCTCTTAGAGTCGCCTCATTCGCGAATCGCGAACGACCCATCAAAAGCTCATTCGCGAACGAGTCGATCCATCATCACTAACGGCTAACGCTCATGAATTGCGAACGACCCATCATAACGCATAGTCGGACAGGACAGGACACACAATGAACAACACAAGCAAGCCAGTCAGTCAACGAGAGACAGGTATGGCGACGAGCTTAACAAGCTTAATTTAATTTTGCCCAGTTGTGGCCTGTTGAGGGGCAATACATATCAAAAGTTCCAAAACATCTATTGTGTTATTTGCATTGATCCACTATATAAACATAATATCTACATGGCATTTGATTGGAGGCTAGTCTCACTTTGTCCCACAGCAACATTTTTTTTTTTTTTAGATGTGTGTACAATGTTTCATGTTTCTGTTAATAATGTATTGTATTAAGTGTCCATTTCATTATAATATTCAGATTTATCATAAATAATTGAACATGTATTGTAAGTTCCGTTAAAGAGGGGTAGAGGTGGGGTCACATTTGAGCATTTAAAATTTAATTTTACTTGAAAGTAACGCAATAGTTACTTTCTTAAGTAACTAGTTACTTTTAAAATTTGTAACTGAGTAACTAATTTAGTTACTTTTTGGAAGTAGTAACTAGTAACTGTAACTAATTACTTTTTAAAAGTAACTTGTCCAACACTGGTTTTGAAGCATCGAAAATACATTTTGGTCCAAAAATAACAAAAACTACAACTTTATTCAGCATTGTATTGTCTTCCGGTTCGGTTGTCAATCTGCGTTCAGTGACACTGCTGACGTAAGACGCTGCTGACGTGTATCTGGTGCGTCCGTGTATTCGGGTTCAAATAAATATGGCTGGGCAAAAAAATGCAAGTCTTCCTCTGTGTCGAAATCCTTAGACATGTTTGCGAAGATTGTTTTGTTTACAGCGTGCGTCTCCCTCAGACGGTAAACGAAGCTCGGGCGCACTGATAACACGGCAGCAGCGTCTTACGACTAAATCTAAATCTAAAATATCTTAAACTGTGTTCCGAAGATGAACGGAGGACTTACGGTCTTGGGACGACATGAGGGTGAGTCATTAATTACATCATTTTCATTTTTGGGTGAACTAAACCTTTAATATGTAGCGAAAAAACACCCAATCTGGCAACACCAGCCACCAGTGTCGCACCACCGTGTCGATGCGTCATCAAAACAAAAAGCAGCATGTAGTCGACAAAGCATCGAGGAGGCGTTGTATGATCATTTAAACTAGTTTTATGACAAGGTCGGTGAGGATGGGAAAAATCGTACATTTCTGTGCAATCTTTGCCCGCCGATAAAATGATTGCTGTCTGTGGTGGCAATAATAATAAAAATAAATAAATAGCTCGCAGCAACATATGGAAAAAAGAACTATAAACTAGTTCGTTTTTGGAACTGTGAACTTAGTTCAAAATTGTGAAGTATGAACTATAAACTGAACAAGTTCATTTTAAAAATTTGTGAACTGAACTTTGAACTAGTTCATGTAGAAAGTGAACTTTCCCAACACTGACTGTGGCCACTGAAACACAGTCAGCCCTCAGCAAAGTGTCTTCTTGATTTTTCTTTCTCTCTATTTCTTTCTGTTCTTCTGTAGCTGATTACGGTGTACACGGTGCCCGGAATGGACCCGGACTGGCTTATTGGAGAGCGAGGCAACCAGAAAGGCAAAGTGCCTGTCACATACTTGGAGCTCCTAAGCTAGACGCCTCATCTTCTCCACAAATGCAAAGGCACACTCAATTATGCATGAACAAATACTCAAGCACTCCTGAACACTGAATTTACCTGGTTTCTTACTATTTAGTTTTTTTTTGTTTTGTTTTTATACCTAGATTTACATTTAGGTCTGTCTTGTTCTGATGTTACTGTGCAGAAATATGTTGTATTATTTTTTATGCCCTAGTTCTGTCTGTGTGTATGTTGTTTCATTTGGACACAATCCTGAATAAGGCATTTCTTAAAATAACTGATTTTATTTGTGACTGCTAGATTTCTATGAAGTCTTTCTTCCCCTCAAAGTGAAGAAAACAAACCGAAAAGCTTTGTGTTTGAGCTGGATGGAAGTTTGTGTGTGTGATCATGTTCTGAAGACACTAAACATCTAGACTTTGCTTCTTTGCATGTTGTCTCACTCATCAAGCTTATATGGTGGTCTTGGTTTGATATCAGCGTGTTTGATTCCGAAAGAGGCATTTTTGTGTTTTGTCAATGATTGACAAGATTGTAAAGGTATTAGGTGTGGTTATGATGTACAGTATGTGGTTTACTGTGATCTGTTCATATTCGAAAGATTTAATTTATTTACCCTCATTAGTACTTATTCACATTCACATCTGCTCAGTCAGCACCTTCGTCTCGGTGTTCTGTGCTTGTTCCAAAAAGCAATGCATATTGAATGGATACAATTTGAATATCTAATAAAGAGAGTTGATCTAGATGTTGTCGTCTAATGGGGATGGTCGTGTCCAATACTTAGTGGTCTGATGCTATTAAAAAATGTCTGGTTTTTAATTCTCACTCTGTTAGTGTTTGCCAATAATAGCTACAGATTTTGCACTGTGAGCCTTCATCATGTTTGTAAATTTGCATCACTACTGCACTGACAAGCTGGTTTGGCAGCTGGAAAACAAATTGCAGTGATTGGGAAAGATTGTTTTTCCAAAACTCACCTCAGTCAAGATAAGTCTTGTATAGAGAAGATTCCAAAATTACTTAATTTAGAAGGAATTTTGGAATCTTTTCTACAAAACTCACAACATGATTTTAGCATAGACTACCAGTCAAAAGTTTTGGAGCGGTAATATTTTGAATGTTTTTAAAAGAAGTCTTCTGCTCACCTAGGCTGCATTTATTTGATTAAAAATACAATAAAACAGTAATATTTTTAATTATTATGACAATTTAAAATAACTTTTCTGTTTTAATATATTTTAAAATGTAATTTATTCCTCTGATCAAAGCTGAATTGAGGTGAGTGCTGTGTATGTAAAAAAAAACAGATTTGATGTGAATGGATGTACTTTAATCTGCTTCAAATTTAGTTTTTAACAAGATATTTATAAATCAACATTTAAAGTGTCTAGTGGTGCAAAGGTTTTAAAAGTTTGGTTGTTGAAAACAATGAATTCGCAATCCGATGATTTCTTGTCTGCTACTTAGAAGTCAATTAAAAAGGGAACTTGCACCAACTGTTAAACGACAAAGGTTGTTATGCTGAAAAGATCAGTTATACTTTAATTGATATTTGTTATAGTTCACAGTGCTGAGTATTGAGTTCCACTCCGTTAGTGGTATTGTATTGAGACCACCTTCTAATCTAATCTAATCAAAAGCCAGAGAGAACAAATAAGATTTAAGAGCTGATTTAAAACTGGTTAATGAAGGAGCAGACCTCACATTTAAGGGCAGACTGTTCCAAAGTTTAGGTGCTGCAGAAGAGAAGGCTCGACCACCCTTAGTTTTACAGCGAAAACGTGGGACAGTTAAGAGTAGCCGATTACCAGATCTAAGTGTTCTTCGGGGAGAGTACGGAATCAGAAGGTCACAAATGTATTTAGGTGCAACGCCAGATAAAGCCTTGTACACAAAAAACGCAATTTTAAAATCAATTCTGAACTTTACAGGAAGCCAATGTAAAGTCGCTAAAATGGGAGAAATGTGTTCTCTCTTTTTTTGTGCCGGTAAGAAGTCTCGCTGCAGCATTTTGCAGGTGAGAAATAGCAGTTTGAGGCAGGCCACAGTATAGGGTATTACAGTAGTCCAGACATGATGTTATGAGAGCGTGGATTAGGGTCTCCAAACCTTTCGCAGATAGAAACTGTTTTAATTTCACAACCGATCTCAAATGAAAGGAACTGCCCTTTACCACTGTGCTAATTTGTTTCTCAAAATTTTGTGACGAATCAAATGTAACCCCAAGATTCCTTACATAAGGTTGAACACTGGCGGCAATAGAATCTAAATTAAAAAGAGATGAAGACCTGGAGGGGCCTAAAATCAAATTTTCGCTTTTGCTTTCATTTAATTGGCAAAAATTATTAGCCATCCAACTTTTGATCTCCTCAAAACAGTTCAGGAGCACGTCCAAAGGATAAAAACTGTCAGTTTTAGAGATCTGGTTGAGATCTGGTGACTGTGGGGGCCATTTTAGTACAGTGAACTCATTGTCATGTTCAAGAAACCAATTTGAAATGATTCGAGCTTTGTGACATGGTGCATTATCCTGCTGGAAGTAGCCATAAGAGGATGGGTACATGGTGGCCATAAAAGGATGGACATGGTCAGAAACAATGCTCAGGTAGGCCGTGGCATTTAAACGATGCCCAATTGGCACTAAGGGGCCTAAAGTGTGCCAAGAAAACATCCCCTACACCATTACACCACCACCACCAGCCTGCACAGTGGTAACAAGGCATGATGGATCCATGTTTTCATTCTGTTTACGCCAAATTCTGACTCTACCATCTGAATGTCTCAACAGAAATCAAGACTCATCAGACCAGGCAACATTTTTTCAGTCTTCAACTGTCCAATTTTGGTGAGCTCTTGCGAATTGTAGCCTCTTTTTCCTATTTGTAGTGGAGATGAGTGGTACCCGGTGGGGTCTTCTGCTGTTGTAGCCCATCCGCCTCAAGGTTGTGCGTGTTGTGGCTTCACAAATGCTTTGCTGCATACCTCGGTTGTAACGAGTGGTTATTTCAGTCAAAGTTGCTCTTCTATCAGCTTGAATCAGTCGGCCCATTCTCCTCTGACCTCTAGCATCAACAAGGCATTTTCACCCACAGGACTGCCACATACTGGATGTTTTTCCCTTTTCACACCATTCTTTGTAAACCCTAGAAATGGTTGTGCGTGAAAATCCCAGTAACTGAGCAGATTGTGAAATACTCAGACCGGCCCGTCTGGCACCAACAACCATGCCACGCTCAAAATTGCTTAAATCACCTTTCTTTCCCATTCTGACATTCAGTTTGGAGTTCAGGAGATTGTCTTGACCAGGACCACACCCCTCAATGCATTGAAGCAACTGCCATGTGATTGGTTGATTAGATAATTGCATTAATGAGAAATTGAACAGGTGTTCCTAATAATCCTTTAGGTGAGTGTATATTCTTCCCTCTTTCTGAGAACATCTCAGTGACTGGCAGCCCACCCCTGAGTCAGTCCTGCAAACCTGTTGGTAGACAGTGAAAATATGCACTCACCCTATGATGGCCTTACCAGCGTCTCTACCAGCATCTTGTGAGCTGCGTACACAAACTGGAGTCTGCTATGAGTATCGTGAGTCTGGACTGATGGTTTTTACAGAAACGTGGTTGTGTAATGATGTACCAGATAGTTTAATACAAATTTACGGGGTTTCCCATTTACATTTGGACAGAGATGAGAATTCGGGAAAGAAAAGAGGGGGTGGTGTTTGTATTTATATTAATGAAAGCTGGTGCTGTAATTTGGCAATTAGAGAAAGTATTTATAACCCTGATCTTGAACTACTGTGTATTACTTTGCGGCCGTATTATTTGCCAAGGGAATTTACTAATATATTTGTCTGTGCAGTGTATATCCCACCTAGTGGGAATGTTCATAGGGCAGCAAGTCAAATTGCAGATTGTGTTAATAGGCACTTACAAATTAAGCCTGATGCACCTTTTTTGATTCTGGGTGATTTTAATCAGTGTGGATTGGAGAGATCCTTACCAGGTTTTTTTCAATATGTGAAGTGTGGAACGAGGAAAAATAATACCCTTGACAAGTGTTACGTCAATATTAAGGATGCTTATGTGGCTAAAGCCAGACCCCCCCTCGGTAATTCTGACCATAATGTTATTCATTTGCTCCCCACCTATCGGTCAGTTTTTAAGACAAGTAAACCCGTTTCTAAGGTTGTTAAGGTGTGGTCAAGTGATAGTATAGAGGAACTGAAAGGATGCTTCCTCTGACAATAATGATTATAGGCCAGTGGCCTTAACATCAAATGTTATAAAATCATTTGAGAAGATTATTATAGGAGAACTGCCATGTGAAGTGATCAGTCCTTAGATCAGTATCAATTTGCATATAAAAATAACCGTGGTACTAATGATGCGGTTTCTACATTAACGCACCTTGTTTTAAAGCATCTGGAGAGTCCAGCTGCTTATGTTAGGCTACTTTTTATTGATTTTAGCTCTGCATTTAACTTCATTCAACCACATAAACTGCTGGAGAAATTAATTATTTTACGAGTTAATCCTTTTATAATTAATTAGTATTTTTTTTAGCATGCTTTATTAGCATGCTTACACGATGTTAAGGACTGGATGGCTGCAAATTTTTTGAAGCTTAACGAAAATAAAACTGAGGTTATTGTGTTTGGCCCTAAAAAACATGATGTGCTTCAGTACTTAAATGCAACTTCTTTGACTGGTTTTGTAAAATCTAGTGTACAAAATTTGGGATTTGTTCTGGATAGTGATTTAAAGCTGGACAGGCAAATAAGTTCTGTGATGAACTGTTCTTGTTTTCTTAATCTACGTCTATTAGTTAAGACTAATCCATACGAGAAAAGACAATGGATTGCTTTCTCAAAATCTGAACTAGATAGAAATGGTTTATTGTAATTCTCTTTACTAGTTGATGCTCGAGCACTTATGCGTCTACAGAAAATCCAAAATGCTGCAGCAAAGACGATAAAGTCGGCAAGGAAATATGAATCTGTGACTCCATTATTAGTTGCATTAAAGTGGTTGCCAGTACATTTTAGAATTATTTATAAGATCCTCATACTTGTTTTTAAGGCCTTGCACAATTTGGCTCCTGTGTATCTGTCCGGTTTGGTGGCATTTTATATCCCCGCTAGATCCTTGAGATCAGAAAGCCAACAGCTGCTTTGCATAACCAGGACAAAATATAAACAAGGTGACAGAGCCTTTTCCCAAGCTGGCCCCAAACTGTGGAATGATCTCCCTCAATCTATTCGATCCGCCAAATCCTTATATTTGTTCAAAGCTATGTTAAAACAACATTCTTCAAATGGAGAATTTTCATAATTGGGTTATTGTCTATGTGTGTTCATGTGATGTGGTCATGTTTTATCATTGCTATTTTTTGTGGTTTTAGTCTGTGATTGTGAAGCACTTTGGGCAACGTGAGTTGTATTAAACTGTGCTATATAAATAAATAAACAAACAAACAAACATTCCTTCTTAAAACATAGGACACAACAGGTGAAATTTTATTCAATGTTGTCGGATGTTGCAGTAAATAGTACAGGGG